CTGTTCTGAAGGAGGAAGTTGATTTGCATAAGGAGCCGGTGGTGTCAGTTTCCTCTGAGTATGTGGGTGTAGGTGTGGATGGAGTCCTCCTCCCAGGACTGAGTGTGTGTGAGTGTGTGTGAGTACCCTCAGAGCAGACAGCTTCCTGAATCCCGTAAAGGGAGGGGGCCTCTGGGGAAAACAGCCCAAGACAAACAGTCGAGGAAACCCACACTGGCCAGCTACACGAATCAGTCCCTTCCTTCCTTCATAAATAGGATCTTTTTGGTCGTTTTCCCTCAGAGACAGTTGAGAAGCCCAGTGTTCCTGCAGGATCTGCTGTAACCTCTCTGCAGGGCCACGCCCACATTCTTCACTGCGGGTCGGGTAAATCCTGTTGCAGGATTTACCAGTCTTCTGTGTGATGCCTGAGCTCTGGGAGCCAGTATAGCTGAACCCGCCAGGATAATCTCCCAGCGCTCCTTTAGTTACCTCCCCTGCTCTTTCCCCACAGCCCACTCTGCCTTGTGATGCCTCTCACTCCACTGTTACAGAATCTCTGCTTGGCCTTCTCCAGGGGTCTTAAGTAATAGTTTTGTTCTCCTCTGTTTTATCAGTTAATCTGATTACAGCCTTTCTTTTAATTTTTTTCTCATTGGAATAGCATTATATTTACTTTATTCTTTATTTAAAAATGTTCACAAATTATGCATAATGTTAGCATAGTGTATCGTATTATAATAATGATATATGGGGCAAATATAATAGTTGCCAGTTGGGACCCACTCTCCATCCTTCTCCACCCTGCTCTCCTATTTCTTCTCTTCCTCAACAACGCTTGTTACAATCTATCCTTCAGTGGCACTCATCCTGGTGTGTGTGAAGTGATATTTCACTGAGGATTTGATTTGAGTTTTCCTGATGGCAAATGATGTTTAGCATCTTTCATATGCTTATTGGTTATCTGTAGATCCTCTTTGGAGAACTATCTCTTGAATTCTGTGCCCATTTAAAAAAAATAAGGTTATTTGTCTTTTTATTATTGAGATGCAAGTGTTCCTTTTTTTTTGAGATGGAAGTGTTGTTCTTTATGTATATTCTAGATACATATCTATTATTAGGTATATGATTTTCAAATATTTTCTCCCACTCTGAGAATTGTCCTTTTACTTTCTTGATGGTATGTATACTTTGAAGCACAAAAGTTTTAAATTTTGGTGAATTCCAGTTTATGTATTTTTCTCGTTTGTTGCTTGTGGTTTTGGTGTTATATCTAAGAAACCATTGCCTAATGTCACAAATATTTACTCACATGTTTTCTTCTGAGAGTTTTATAGTTTTAGTTCTTATTCTTAGGTCTCTGATCCATTTTGAGTTAGTTTTTGTGTATGGTGTGAGAAAAGAATCCAGGTTCATTCTTTTCCAACTAGATAATCAGTTGTCTCAGTACGGTTTCTTAAAAAGACTTTTCTTTATCCATTGAATTGTCTTGGCACCCTTTGTCAAAAATCAGTTGACTGTAAGCATGAGGGTTTATTTTTGGACTGTCAGTTCTGTTCCACTGATCTATAGGTCTGTTCTTATGCCGTATCAACATTGTTTTGATTAATGTGGCTTTATAGTAAGTTTTGAAATCAGGAAGTATGAATTCTCCAACTTTGTTTTTCTTTCTCAAGATTGTTTTGGCTATTCTGGGTTCTTTGAATTTCTGTATGAATTTTAGGACCAGTTTATCAATTTCTGCAAAGAGGCAGCTGGGATTTTTATAGGGAGTGTGTTGAATCTGCTGATCAGTTTGGGGAGTATTGCCATCCTGACAATATTAAGTCTTCCCATTCTTGAACATGAAATGTCTTTCCATTTATTTAGGTCTTTTCATTTCTTTCAGTGAGGTTTTCAGTGTACAAGTCTTGTACATTTTTTGTTAAAGTTATTCCTAAGTATTGTATCATTTTTGATGCTTTTGGAAATGGACTTTTCTTAATCACATTTTATTATTATTCATTGTTAGTGTAGAAATACAAATTGTTTTTTGTATATTGACCCTGTATCCTACAACCTTGCTGAACACATTACTTCTGATAGTTTTCTAAATAGAAGATCATGTCGTCTGCATTTAGAGATAATTTTACATCTTCCTTTCCTTTTTCTTCTTATAAATTTTTATTTATTTATTTATTTTTGGCTGTGTTGGGTGTTCATTGCTGTGCACGGGCTTTCTCTAGTTGTGGCGAGCGGGGGCTACTCTTCGTTGTGGTGCGTGGGCTTCTCATTGCAGTGGCTTGTCTTGTTGTGGAGCATGGGCTCTAGGGCGCATGGGCTTCAGTAGTTGTGGTGTGCAGGCTCAGCAGTTGTGGCTCGCGGACTCTAGAGCGCACGCTCAGTAGTTGTGGTGCATGGGCTTAGTGTGTGGCATGTGGGATCTTCCCAGACCAGGGCTCGAACCCGTGTCCCCTGCATTGGCAGGCAGATTCTTAACCACTGAGCCACGAGATAAGTCCCTACATCTTCCTTTCCAATCTGGATGCCTTTCCTTTCTATTTCCTGCCTAATGGACCTAATGATACTCCAGTACAGTGTTGAATGAAAGTGGCAAGGTTGGATGTCCTTGCCTTGTTTCTGATCTTAAAATGAAAACATTGTCTTTCACCTTTAAGTATGATATTAGCTGTAGGCTTTTTGTAGATGTCCTTTATCAGGTTGTGGAAGTTCCCTTCTATTCCTAGTTTGCTGATTGTTTTTCTCATGAAAGAACGTAAGATTTCATTGAATGTTTTTTCTGCGTCTTTTGAAATAATCATGCCATTTTTGTCCTTTTTAAAATTAATGTGTTTTTCACTAATTTTTGCATATTCAACCAAAAATTTTATTTCTTATTTGACCTATTGTTTATTTAGGAGTGTGTTGTTTAATTTACACATATTTTTGTTTCCCAAATTATTTTCTGTTGTTGATTTTTAATTTGATTCTCTTGTTGTTGGAGAACATACTTTGTATAATTTCAGCCTTTTAAATCTGAGGCTTGTTATATGGGCTATCTTATGGTCTGTTCTAGAGAATATTCCATGTACACATAGGAGACATTTTGCTGTTGTTGGATAGAGTGTTATATAGAGGTCTGGTTGGTTTATAGTGTTAAGTCTTCTATTTCCTGTTCATCTTCTGCTTAGTTGTTCTGTCCACTATTTAAAATGAGGTATTGAAATCTCTAATCATTATTTTGGAATTGTCAGTTTCTCCCTTCAATCCTGTCATTGTTTGCTTCATGTATTTTGGAACACTGTTGCTAGACATGTGTATTTATAATTGTAATGTCTTCCTGATGGATTGACCTTCTTATAATTATAAAATACCCTTCTTTGTCTCTAGTAACAACTTTTGTCCTAAAGTCTATTTCATCTCACATTAAAATAGCTACAATAACTCTCTTTTGGGTACTGTTTGCAGTATATTTTTCCATCCTTTTACTTTCAGCATATTTGTGTCTTTGAATCTAAGGTGTCTCTTGCAGACAGTATACAGTGGGATCATTTTTTTTAATACATTTTGCCAAGCTCTATCTTTTGTTTGGCTTTTGAATCTATGACCTATCTCAGGCTCGTTCTGTGGCTATAAAAAGATAGCATGATAACTGCAATTAAACCTCATTTTCAAATATATTTTACAGCTCTTTACGGGGACAAGTCTTTTCTTCTTTGATATTCTTGAGGATTGCCAAGCTGGCCAAGATGGTAAAGTTTTTTTTGTCTGTTGGAAAAATCCTTAATTATTGAACAAAGTGAACAGCACTCAGAAATTTATGGCCCCCCCCAAAAAAAATGGGGGCGGGGAGGAGGTTAAAAAAAAGGAAGATAGCATGAGACATCCTTGTAATGGAACCGTTCTGTGTCTTGACTGTGGTGGTGTCATGCGTATCTACATGTGATAAAATTGCGTAGAAGTAAATACATACAAACGGGTCCGTGTAAACCTGACGGGGTCTGAATAAGATTGCTGGATTGTATCCGTCTTGGTCTCCTGCTTGTGACATTGTGCCATAGTTAGGCAAGATGTTACTATTGGGCAATTGGGTGAAGAGTATATTGGATCCCTTTGTATTTTTTTTTTGTTACTGCTACATGTGAATCTACAGTATTTCAAAATAAAAAGTTAAAAGCAAAATGCATGTTATCTCCGTTCCTTATATAAGGAAAAAAATACCCTCAGACATATTTGCGTGGGTCTGTTTCTAGGTTTTCTACATTGTTCCATTGATCTGTTGTATACATCCCTCCACCAGTAACACACTATCTTGATTGCTGTAGCTGTATAGTAAGTCTTAACATCCAGTAATTTCCCACTTTATTCTTTTTAAAAATTGTTTTAGTCTGTGTCCTTTATCTTTCTATATAAATGTTACAATAAGCTTGTCTATATCTACAAAAATCCTGGCTAGGAGTTTGATAAGAATTGTGTTAAACTTAATAGATCAATTTGGGAAGAATTGGCTTCTGTGTTGAGTTTTTTAATCCATGAACATGATTTATGCCTCTCTATAGTCATCTTCGATTTCTTTCATTGGTGTTTTTGTAGTTTTCAGTACACAAATTCTATACGTGTTTTATTAGATATTTACCAAAGTATTTCAATTTTTCGAGCAATTATAAATGGTATTATATTTTTAACTTCTGTTTCTACATGTTCTTTTCAGCCTGTAAAAATGTGATTGATTTTGGAGTTCCCTGGCGGTCCAGTGGTTAGGACTCTGTGCGTTACTGCTGAGGGCCCGGGTTTGATCCCTGGTCAGGGAACTAAAAATCCCACAGGCCTCCTGTCACAGCCAAAAAGAAAAAAAAAGTGATTGATTTTTATGGGTTGATTTTTACCCTGTCACTTTGCTGACTCACTCATTAGTTCTAAGATTTTTTTTAAAAATTGATTCCTTGGGATTTTCTACGTGGACCATCATGTCATCTGCACATAGGGAGGAGTTTTAATTCTTCCTTTCTGTTGAGTATGCCTTTTATTTCCTTGTGTTCCAGCCACCTGCCTGTGTATGCCGAGGTGCAGGAGCCCTACGTGTACCTGCAGAGCAGCCAGGTGGAGGTCACCAACCTCTACCTGGGCGTGCCCACCAAGACGCCTGTCGCACTCATCAATGGCACACTCCTGCCCACACAGTTCCACTGGGGCAAGGTGGGTGAGCCCACACTGTCGGGCCCTAGGCCTGCAACCCTCAGCCCCAGAGGCCTGTGTGGAGGGGGCGTTGTCCCCCAGACACCGCCCAGAACAGATTACTGCCCCTGGAGCTGACTCTGCCGCCTGCCCCACGTGCCACGGCAGATGGGGCCACGTCCCTGTGCATCAGAGCCAGCTGTCCCTGTTCCCCATCACCCTGGGCCTCCCAGGGTGGCTTATTTAGTCCAGAGAACCCCTGACAGGGATGAGGTCCATCTGTGGTGGGAGAGGAGAGGAGAGGGGCCTGTGGTTTATCCCCACTCAGGAGCACCCCACCCTGCTGGTCTCGCTGGGGGACCCCAGTCCGCCAGCCTCCCCAGAGTATGCGGCAGTGCTGAGCCCTCTGTCTGGACCCCGGGTCCATCCTGGAGGCCCAGCACGTGACCCCACCAATGTGTCTGCCAGCTCCTGGGGCTCCAAGCAAGCTTCTGCACAGCAAAAGTCTCCCCGAGACGTGGCACGCTGGGCCCCCGTGAGGAGCGCCAGTTCAGCCTAGAGTTGACTGCTCATACCCAGGCGAGTGAGGGCTCAGGGGCCTGCGTGCCCAGGAAGCTCCCCCGGCTGCCTGCCTCTGTGCCGGCCAGGAGGTCCACCCCAGACCCCTCTCCTGGGCTGCGTCAGTGGGGACGAGACTTCTTGCATTTGGGTCTGGGGTCCCCACTCCCACTGGGCCTGCTGTCTAGGGACACAGGGCCTGGATGTGCCCTGACACCCTTGGGCACCACCTTTAGCCCTCGCCAGGCCATTCTCTTTGGAGCAGGTGGGCCCAGCTTTCCAGCTGCCCGGAGCTGCTGAACAGAGCTGCTGCCCACGGCGGGCCCTGTGCTGGGTGCTGCAGGGGAGTCTGAGCGGCACCCAGGCTCCTCCCAAGAAGGACACTGCTTCTCCTGGGTGCAGCCCACAGGAAGGCCATTGGGCCGAATGTGCTCAGCACTTGGGTGGTTGCCGGCTATCTGTTTGTGGTTCTTGTGGGGAAGGAAACTTCTTCCTCGCAGGGACTAGCAGCCCCAGGTCCCAGTCCTCTCTGGCGAACATGTGGACGGTGGGCTTTCTTACACAGCTGAGCCAGAGCTCGAGGGTGACGGCCGGGCCCAGGCCTGGCACAGAGCAGACCTCACGCAGAAAGGGCTTGATTTCTATGGTAGCAGCTTCATCAGGATAAATGTGCGGCTTCTCCAGAGGTCCGCTTGGAGGGGTCTCCTTCACGTGGGGCTGCCCAGGTATTCGGGGCCGACTCACAGCCAGGAGCCCTGAGGAAGGGGCCAGGCCTCCGGTGGGGGGCAGGGGTGGGCTGACAGGCCGGGTCTGGGCATAGTGACCCACTGAAGGGTCTGGGAGCCCTTCCACAGAGATGAGCCTGGACAAGACCTTTGGGTTGAGCGCCCCCCCCCAAGCAGCCTCCTGTGCTGTGGGAGCCCATCTGAGGCCCCTCTGCTGAGGCCAAGCCCTGGGCTTTACCTGAGTGATGCACCCCCGGTGGGCTTCCTTATAGGACGAGTTGATGGACCTGGCCCTCCCTTGTAACGTGTTGGGCATGAAGGAGCCACTGGTTCTGGGCATTTCCGGGAAACCCCGGGGACTGCAGGTGGCCATCGCCATCTCTACAGAGGACGGCGACAGCAGGTGAGCCCAGGGCAGGCCCGGGGCCTGGGGGCTGAGGCAGCCGTTCAAAGGACCGGCCTTGAGGTGGTACCAGCCTCCTCCCCGTGATTCCCGCGGCCAGGAAAAGGCCCCTCACAGACTCTCTGGGGACAGCCCTGCCTAGCCCATCACCGCCTTCTCTGTGGTCTTTCCCCACACACCGGAGGCGTGGTGTTCAGGCGGGGAGACGGCAGGGGACGGGGCTCTGGGTACCTTGGGCTTTCCCGTACGAGGCCTGGCGACCGGGAGACAGGCCGGTCTGCCCCGACCAGGGAAAACCTGGGGAGTTTGAGGCCTCTCTTGGCATCACGGGTGGGCGAGTCGGGAGTCTCTGTGGGGTGGCAGCTTTTTTTTTTTTTTTTTAATTTATTTATGGCTGTGTTGGGTCTTCGTTTCTGTGCAAGGGCTTTCTCTAGTTGTGGCAAGCGGGGGCCACTCTTCATCGCACGCACAGACTCAGTAATTGTGGCTCACGGGCCCAGTTGCTCCGCGGCATCTTCCCAGACCAGGGCCCGAACCCGTGTCCCCTGCATTGGCAGGCAGATTCTCAACCACTGCGCCACCAGGGAAGCCCTGGGGTGGCAGCTTAATGAGGGCTTGGAGGATGCAGCCTGGTTTCCGGGCAGCTCTGGCGCCCCCACCCCAGGTAGCTCGCTGGGCAGGGCCAAGGGTGGCGTGTAACCGGGTGCTCGTGGGCTCGGGGCAGTGTTGCCAGTGCAGAGCTGTGGCCAGGCCACCCGGAGAGGCTCCACCTGGACTTCGGCTCAGCAGTGCCACTGCGGACCCGCGTGAATCGCCAGCTTATCCTGACCAACTGCTCCCCGATACAGACCCCTTTTACCCTCAAGTTTGAGTACTTTGGGAGCCCTGCAAACAGCCTGCGCCAAAAACCCAGCCTGTAAGTCTGGTTTCTTTCAGAGGCTGCTTCTGGGGAGGATGTGGCCTGCTGAGGTGGAGGGCTTCGGACAGGCCAGGTGGTACTGGGGCCCGCGGACGAGGGAGAAGTTATTGTAGGTGGAGGGAACTGTGCGCAGAGATACAGTGAGGCCCGCTGCAAAGCTGTAGCTCGGAATCAACTGCATTGAAAGTGTTTACACCGAGAGGCTGGCTAAGTTTACCAGCACCCCGCTGCAGACGCCTCGCCACCAAAGCTCCTAAGGCGGGGGTGGGAGGGGGGGAGTGGTGGCGGGAGCTTCAAAACCACCGACTGCTGGTGTTGCAGGGCACCAGGAACAGCTCCTGAGCCATTAACTTGCCCATTGCAGAAAGTTAGCATGTGTTCAGTGCAGGACAGATGTCAGCAGGAAAGAGTGGAAACGGCCTGTTGCAGAAGGCTGGACAAGGGTTGGGGAGTCGGGGCTGGGTTTTCATCCATGGGTCACCAAGGTGCAGAGCCTGGGGATCGGGGTCCCTGCCCTGGAGCCCTCCTGAGTTTGTTGGGAGGCAATCCCTGGGGCTGGCAGGCGGCCTGCAGCTGGGATGCTTTGGGTGGTAGGGGTGCAGCGCGAGCAAAGACCACAGACAGAGGTGAAGAGGAGGCCTGACCAGCTCTCCCTTGGGAGGAGCAGGCAGGGCCACCTTCTTCTGCTGGGCACCTGGGGGGATGCTGGTTGCCAGGGGAGGTGGCTCAGGTCTGGGGAAGGGCCCGGATGGCTTGATGTGATTTCCACGTCCCGTCTTGTCAAGCCCCGACATGCCTCCTGCCCTGCTGAAGATGGCTCGGATGCGGGAGCTCTTGGCCAAGCGAGAGCAGCTGGGTAAGAGTCCCAGGGCAGGCGCTGAGCCCAGGCCTGGCCAGAGCGGCGTTTCGCGTGGCCTTCCAAGGAGGTGGGCCGGTTGCTGCAGGAGGGGACCCTGACCAGAGACCACTTCTCAGCGTCTTTTCTAGCAAGGTCCCTGAGATGGCCGTGGCCCTCCACCTGACAGCACCCCCTCTTTTAAACGAGGCCATCCCCTTGCCAAGGGCGTACGGCTTGTGCACAGGGCCTGGCTTCGATTTGGGAGGGGTGGTGGCTCAGAAGGGAGGGCTGAGGCTCGGCCCTTGTGGGAGGTGAGAGAAGCTTGGACGCTGGGCCCCAGGCTCCCAGGAGGAGGGTCTGTTTAGCCAGACCAAGGAGAGGCTGTAGGTTGGCTTGTCTGGTTCAGTGCTTTGCTGACGCTTGAGGGTTTGGACCTCTTTCCTGCCCTGGGGCCTGAATCCCCATTCCTGGTTCTGCTGTAGAGTTTATGGAAAGCATGCTGTCCCACGGGAAAGGAGCTGCCTTCTTTCCCCACCTCTCCCAGGGCGTGCTGGGGGCCCACCAACAGCTTGGCATTGACCTCACAGCCTGTGCGAACATGTGGGGCGAGTACTGGGACAGCCTCATCTGCACAGTAAGTAAACAAAGTAAACGTGTCCCAAATCCTAGGCTACTGAGTTATTGCACAGAAGATTTTCCTGAACTATTTAGTAAATTGGATGCGTTAGTTATGGTAGATATTTGCTTTAAATTGTGCTGTGCCCAATGACAAAGAGTTGATCACCTTAATATACAAAGCATTTCTGGACTAACAATAAGGGGGGCAAAAGCATCCCAAATAGACAAAGGGTTTGAATAGGCAACTCAAGAATGACAAAGAGAGACGGCCAGCGAACGTGAAACATGTCACCAGCACTGGTAACCAAAGAAGTGAGGGTTAAACCACTGAAATACTAGTCTTTGTGAGATTAGCAAGGTTCAAAAGTTGTCAGTGAAGGTGCAGGGGAAAGGTACTCACGTGCACGGCGAGGCCGGCTGGGAAATGTGTGCCACCCTTCGGAGGCACTTCTGCAGGGCGCTGGGGACACACAGTTAAGGTTGCCTCAAGGAAAGAAGTGGACACAGGGAACAAATAAATTCACACCAGGCTTCCTTTTCTTCTCAGCGTTGTTTGTAATAGAGGGGGGAGAAAAAAGCAAACGGTGTAAACATCCATGTCCATCAGGAGAAGATCGGATGAAAACATTAGGCTACATCCACGCAGTGGAATTCCGGACAGCCCGTTAAATGATGCTGTAAACCTTCATTAGTAAAATTATCATATGTTGTAAAGAGAAAAGAGATTACCAAAACAAAGCATGCCCAGAATGCTCCTCATTTATATCTGTGTTTTATGCACACAAGTCTGTCTAGACAGTGGTACACTGAAATGTTAACAGTGAGTCATGCTGGGGGGTGGGGTAGGATCATGGGTGAAATACATTCTATTTTAAATTAAAAAAAGACATTTATCGCTTTTTATTAGCAGAGAAAAATAATAAAGTTATTTCCATTTAAAAGATAAAGAAATGTAATCAAAGGGGCCATAAGAGGCCAAAGACCCTCAAGCTGGGAGATCCGTGCAGTCGCACACAGGGCTGGGCGGGAGAGTAGAGACGGGAGGGCAGGACAGGGAAGCGGGGGCTGGGAGGCCAGACCTTTGGGGGGATCTGGGGTGAGTGTCAGACATGGGGGAGTGAGTCCCCGCCCAGTTGCGACCAAGCTTTGGGGACCCTGGGCTGGCTGGAGGAGGGAGGGCCTCGAACGGAGGGGATGGGGAGCCAGGGGTTGCGGTAGCAGCCGGTGACGAGAGCAACGCATGACTGCTGTGTTTGCAGGTGGGAGACCTGCCTCCAGCGGTCATCCCGGTGCACATGGCGGTGGTGGGCTGCCCCATCAGCTCCCACAGGACCGCCCACTACACCACTGACCAGATCCAGAAGGAGCCTGTTGTCAGGTATCCCTGCCTCGCCCCCGCCCACCTCCTGCTCTAACCCTTGAAACCCTCTGGCCTCCACCCCGGGCTGCCCACGCCAACTCGTTGCTGTCCCGCTGGCCCAGGGCCACTTGGTGCCACCCAGCTCGAAAGCCCCAAGCCAGGGCTACCCCAGAGGAGAGAGGCCTCAGGGGGCACGGCCGTGATCTGCACATCTCCGAGGGATTTGCGGGGACAGAAGTACCGAGTAGTCACTTGTGGTCCGAGGTCAGGGCCGGACTTGGGACCCCTCACTCCAACTGCTTTGGGGTCTGTGTGGTTGGTCAGTGCGGTTGCAGAGTGGGTGGGGTTTACTGGTGAGCAGTCCTGGGTCATGGTTCACCGGGCACCGCATGGGGAGGGCCTCCAGCCCTGGGGCTCAGTTACTCTGGGCTGAAGACAGACCGCTATGGGGCCTCCTGCCTGCCTGAGCCCCGGCCTTCCTCTCTCAGGAGAGCTGGCCTGTGGGGTGTGCGCTGGCTGTGGCCCTGCTGACCCTCGTCTCCTGTCTCCAGGTTCGGCACCCAGGTCTCTGGAGGAGACACCATCACCCGGATCCTTCGCCTGAGTAATTCCAGCCCCTGTGGTGAGATGCTCGCGAGAGAAATCGGGGCTCTTGCTGCAGGCTCTGCCGTGTGGTGGGCCAGGCTGGGAGGGAAGATTGGGGTGGGGGAAGCTGATGGCCCACGACCTGGAGCCAAGTGGGCTGGGGTATGGAGGGAGGCCCCCAAGGGCCAAGGTCAGGACTGGCCAAGCCACTCTTGGGTTGTCAGAGCCACTTCCACCCGAGAAGACAGGACTTATCCTTGCCTGGGGTCTCCCAGTGTCCATGGGCCACAGATGCCCTCCCCTGGTCGGGTTCACTTTGCATAGGGACAGGCACTTGTAGGGGACACCTTTTCTCTTCCCTTCAGCCAGCAGCCCCTGAGCTATTTGCCAGGTGCTGTGCAAGGAGCTGGGGATACAGGGGCAACAGGACAGCAGGGGCTGTGCCTGATGGGCAGGACGGACGTGACCATGGGCTGCCAGTGTAGAGTGCACTGAGTGCAACTATGGGGGCGGCCAGAGTGCTGGGGGTCTGTGTCAAGGGCCATCAGGCTGAGGCCAGGAGGAGAGCGACCCAGCTGGGCCTGAGGGAGCTTATGGGCCACAGGAAGAGCCAGGGCCAGCTGAGAACCAGAGTCTCCCGGGGATTATTTAAAGCACCTTGAGGCTCGGCCACCCCAGACCAAGTGAACCACAGTCTCTAGGGGCAGGGCCTGGGCACTGTAGTTTTTAAGCTCCTCGGGGACTCAAGGGAACATCCTGTTGGTGGAAGAGAATGGCCACTCTGTGACCTTGCTTATTTTTGACCACTGGATCTGTGCATTTGGGGTGTATTGGACCACTCTAATCATATCTTTATCAAGTTCTTCTGGCGTTTGTAGTTTTGCTGTGTTTTTAGCTTCTGTATTGTTAGATGCACTTGACAGCTAATGATGCCTCTTATCACCCTGTAACCTTCCTCTTTGGCCCCTTCAGTGCTTAAATCCCGCCTCACCGAATAGCAACATTGCTCCCGCTGGTTGTATACTGGCATTTGCCTGGTATGTCTTTGCCCATCCCTCTGTTTTCACCCTTTATGACTTTGATGTGTGTTTCTCTGTAAACAGCCGGGATCTGAGCTTTAGGAAATCTATGTATTTCTTCTTCTTTTATGATTTATTTCACTGTTATTTTTCTGCTTTCTTCGTTTTGCTTTTTGTGACTTCTGTTTTCCCTTCGTTTAATTTGGGATTTCTCTTCTACTTTCCTGGTTACCGTTGCTTCCTTGGGGCTCATCATCACACGCACATTCCTCCGTACCTGAAAGTGAGACTGTCCTCTGCACTTGAGAGTATGGAAGCCACTGGTGGCCTTGGTGAGAGTGGTTCCGTGCGTGAAAGAGGCAGATACCAGGTAGTAACCCTAGGGACTACAAGTTCGGGGACCTTGCGTGGGCATGTCTTCACCAGGCGTTCATTCCCCAGGGGCGAGCCATGAATCCGAGGTGAGCGGGGAGTGGGGGGGAGGCGCTCATGGATTGTTCGTCCTCCAAGCTTGCTGTGGAGAGGAGAGGTGGTACTGGAAAGGTCTGGCAGAGGGAAGCTTGTTTAAGTGCTGTGGGGAAGCAGCCAGGAGAGAGGGGAGATGGGACACATCTGGCCCCTGAGAAGAGGGGTGCAGGGATGGGGTAGATGCAGACAGATGGGGGGCTCCGGGCAGGACTTTTTTCTGGGAGGTGAGGTGGGACCACCCACTGAGTGCCAGAGGAGACCAGGGAAGACAGTGTCGTGGTGCAGGTACGCAGGGACGGCCGAGCAGTCAACAGTGATGGGCAGAGTGGGGGCGCAGTTTAGGTTGGGGACATATTTATGGGAGTGGCACGTTGTTTAGAATGTGGGGGACTTGCTCACTGGGGCCTAGATGGTCGGTTCCGTTCCCCCAGGGTTAGGTTTTTTCCCAGTGGGTACAAGGATGGGGGCAGAGAGAGAGATGAGAATCCTGGCCAGACAGTTGCCAGTGGCAGCCCCCAGAGACTCGCCTGGCTGGGGAAGGAAGTGAAAGCAGGCGGGCGCTAAAGGATGGAGGGGAGGAGGCAGGGGACACGGGGAATGAAGGGCCCAGTGGTCAGCAAAAAGGCCAGAAGGAAAGGAGGGTGTGGGGAGAGCACACAGGGAGCCGGATTTCTGCATCTGGACATGAAACCTGGTCTTGTGATCCAGAGGGCAAGGGCTGGCATAAGCCTGTAGACTCTCCTAAAACAAGAATTGCCTGCAAGTGACATCGAGGAGCCAGGCCCCCTCCACCCTGAGTGTGGGAGACCTGGCAGCCTCCGGGGGCTGCAGGGAGTGGGGGGGGGGGCGCCCAGAGAAGAGTCTGCTCCTTCCTTATCCCTCGCCTCTCTCCCCCATGTCTGCCCCAGACATCCGCCTGGACTGGGAGACCTACGCTCCAGAGGCCAAGGAGGACCGGCTGCTGGAGCTGCTGGTGTCCTATGGGCCACCCTTCCCGCTGCGGGACCAAGCTGGGAACGGCCTCCTGTGCCCTGAGACCCCTGAGAGCAGCAGCTCCTTCTGGTCCCCAAGTCCCTCTGACGTGTCCAAGTCCAGCCGTGAAGCTGCCCAGTCTGTGAGCAGGGGTGGCGGGAGGGCTGCCGGGCTGTGGCCAGTGGGCCTCGAGCCTGCGTGAGCCTCAGCGACTCCTGGACCACAGGCTGAGGGCGGTTCCAGTGCCGGCGCCTCCCAGGAAATCATCTCAGTCACCCTGCAGGGGCGCGAGGGGGTGCCCTCTGACCAGCTGTTCTCCATCAGCCCCAAGCAGGTGGTGAGTTGGGGCGGGGCTGGGAGCTCTGGGCGGGGGGTCGGGGTGGGTGTCCCCCTGGCCGGGAGGGACAGGCAGCGCTGAGGCTGCTGTGTGCGTCTGCCAGGTGGTCCCCGCAGGGGGCAGCAGCACCATCCGCATCTCCTTCACACCCGTGGTCCTGGGCCCTGACGTCCTGCACAAGGTGGAGTGTACTGGCTCCGCCCTGGGCTCCATGAGCTTGGATGACGAGGTGAGCGCTCCTGGCCTGGGGAGGGCCCCCACCATTGCCTCTCCCTGGGGGAGCTCGCCCGCTGCCTGCTCAGCTCGGGCGCCCGTGATTGGGCTTGGGCTCGGCAGGTGGAGAGGGAGCTTCCGGGGAGGAGGCGCCGCCTGCAGGGCTCGGCTGTGGGACCCGTGAGGCTGCACCTGCACGGCTACGTGAGGCCTGCGCAGTGAGTCAGCTGGGCTGCCTGGCCTCCCTGCGGCCCGCTGTGGGGGTCAGCCTTCCCCGGCACTGCTGGGGACCAGACAGGGTCCTGGGAGCAAGAGGATGGGGACGGGAGGGAGAAGCTGGCGGGTGCGCCCAGGGCAAGGCCGGCCAGGTCAGCTGGGCCCCAGAAGCCCAGCCATGCCTGTCGCTGGCAGGCTGAGCGTGGAGCTGGACTCCGGCAGCGTGGTGTTCTGGCACCAGGCCAGCGACCTCATCCCCGAGCAGCGCTGTGCTGGGGTGAGTGTGCTGCACGCTCCCCCCCCCGCCCGCCGCCCCGGCCCTCCCGAGCTACCTGGTCCTCAGACCTCTCCCGCAGCCCCCTGTGGGGCACAGGCCTGACAGTCCGGGTCCCCTCCCCCGGGACCCCCCACCCCCCACCCGAGTCAGGGGCTCCGGAGGGCAGAATTGAGTCCCCTCCCCGACCTCTGTGGCCGCCCAGGTGCTGAGTGAGCTGGTGACCACCCGCCACCTGAAGCTGACCAACACCACGGAAATCCCACACTACTTCCGGCTCCTGGTCTCCAGGCCCTTCTCTGTTTCTCAAGATGGGGAGAGCCGCAGCCACAGGGCTCCCGGCCCCAGCTGGAAGCAGGAGTGCAAGGAGGGAACAGCAGCAGCCGGCAAGCAGCTGGTACTCTACCCACAGGAGAACATGCTGGTCAGTGGGAGCTTCTGTGGTCCCTGCCTACAATGGGCACACTCACCTGGGCTGGGGCTCACCTTCCTCTCACGTTTGCGCATGCAGCACCCTCCAGGTCTGGACGTAGACACAGACAGTGGTGTCCACACACGAACCACACGCTTGGCCCCGCCATGCGCTGTGCGCTCAGGGGCGGACACCCATCACACGCACCATGTCCAGCAAACCCCTCCGCACAGGGGCCCTCCACGCGCAGGAACGCCCAGACCCATCAGTGTGGACACTCGCGAGTCCCAGACACACCAGACCCCACTCTTCGTCCCCTCCACCAGTGTCCTGGTCCTGCGAGGACCTCCACGCGGCACAGACCCCCCTTCTTGTGTGCCCTCACGCAGGGTTTCATCACCATCTTTCCATAAACATAAGGCACACCAGAAACACAGTTCCCCAGGCCCCACTGCCAGAGATGAGAAGATCTGGGCTGAGGCCCGGGAACCCGTTTTCCTAACAGGTGCCTTTGATGAATCTGTGGATCTGGGTCCACAGACCTGGGTTGGGGAGCCCCGTGTACAAGCCCCATCCTGTTAGGCCCAAGTTACACCCTGGCCCCCAGATACCCACTCATGCTCCCCCAGCCCCCTCCCCACAGTCTCCAGGGTGGCCCCTGAGGAAGGCAGAGCTGACTGCACGTCCCCTGCTTAAAACCCGGCAGGGGCTCCTCACTGCCCCCAGAACAAAGACACAGGCCTGACTTGGGCCTACGGGCCTGCCCGCAGCCCTGGTCACGCGAGTGGAGCCGCCCAATCCTCCGGCCTCTCAGCTCCCGAGGGCTGCTCAGCCCTGTCCCCAGTACTGACGGCTGTTGGGCAGGGAGCAGGGCACAGTGTGAGGAGTGAATGCACCAGGCAGGGTCCGCAGGAGGGAAGGATGGAGCTCTGGGCGGGGAGGCCGCCGCCCACCTCCAGCAGTCTGAGGTGACGGCTTGTCCACATCTGCTCAGGTGAATGTGTCCTTTTCCCTCTCCCTGGAGCTGCTCTCCTATCAGAAGCTCCCGGCTGACCAGATGTTGTCTGGAGTGGACATGCAGCAGAGCGCGAGTGGAGAGAAAAAGATGGTCTTCACTCAGAATCTGCTACTGGAATACAGCAACCAGACCACTCAGGTGAGTCCCAGGCCTGCCTCATGTGTTCAGGTGGGGTCAGAGGACAAACCCCAGTTGTCTGCCTGGGAAGAGGCCTGGCACATGGAGAGATGAGGGTCATCCATCCTTACCTGTCTTAGGAGCTCAGAGCGAGGTGGGGTGCTGTAGGGTGCAAAATCAGGGAAGGCTTCCTGGAGGAGGAGGTGGCATGCGAAGCCTGCATGCTGTTTAACAGAGAGAGAAGGGAAACCAGGCCAAGGGAATGGCCTGATGGGTGGGGACTGAGCAGCTGAGGGACGCCTCCTGGGCTCGTGTGGGTCTGCGAGCACCAGGTGAGAATACCACGGGCCTCGTTCTTGTTCTGTGGCCTGTGACAGCTCCACACCACAGCCCCACCTGCCCTGAGTTGGAGAGGCCAAGGAAAAAGGTTAGATGGCCCAGAGCCCAAGGGGAGCAGAGGGCTAGATGAGAGGGGAGAGGAAGGCAGTAGGGCGGCCCGACCAGGGAGCAGAAACCACAGAGCTGGATCCAGGGCAGGGGTGGCAAGGGAGTCAGAGGGGAGCAGATGGCGCGTTCCTGGCCCTTTTCCTGCCCAGAATCCCACCAGCATCCCCTGGCTTTAGATGACAGCGCTGGCCCCCTTCCACCAGCTGTGGTGCTGCCTGTACGTCCCTCAGAAGCTGCAGTACTTGGGGTCGGCAGGGCCCCTGTGTCCCTGGCTCAGAGCCCAGTGGGAGTGGGTAAGGTCACCCAGTCCCTACCAAGTTAAAGGTTCTGTCCCCCGCAAGGTGGTGCCCCTGCGGGCCGTCGTGGCCGTGCCTGAGCTGCAGCTCTCCACCAGCTGGGTGGACTTCGGGACCTGCTTCGTGAACCAGGGCCGCATCCGGGAGGTCTACCTGATGAACCTGAGCGGCTCCCGGAGCTACTGGGCCGTGTTGACAGGTGTGCCATGCCCTCCTCCCTGCTCCCCCGTGCAGCTGGGCCGAGACCCCCAAGAAGGGGCCTGCGTGCCCTGTCCCTGCAGGCTGGCTCCCCAGGGTTGGGCCCACCTGAGAATTCCTGCAGAGGTGGGCAGGAGCAGAGGCGCACCCCCAAGATGCGGGCAGGGGGCCGAGCATGGAGCTGGCTGCGCTCCTGCATGTCCCCTTCCCCTCACGCAGGCCAGCAGGAGCCAGACAAGGACCCTGTTGCCTTCAGGGTCACCCCAAGCAGTGGGCTGCTGGAGGCACGACCGGTCAACGCGCCCCCCACCTCCGTCCCCCTCCAGGTTTCCTTCACCGCCAGGTACGGCCCTCCCAGCCTCGCTGGCGCTGCCTCTGGAGCCCTGGCCCAGGGCCCCCAACTCATCTCAGCCCCTGCTCCCCACAGGAGCTGTGAGCTGTACGAGTCCACGCTGGTGGTGGAAGGTGTGCTCGGTGAGAAATCCGGCACCCTGCGGCTCCGGGGCCGAGGCTCGTATGATGAGAAATATGCATCGCCCTACTAGCTCTGAGCCTCTGCCCTCAACCCCCAATACTGGAAATAAACACGGCCCAGAGCTATGGAGCAGGTTTACTGGGCAAAGGCACCTACTGGAGGACCTCTGAACAGCTCCTGGGATGGAGGGACTTCCCCCCCCCCCTGTGGGATCTTCCCAGACCGGGGCACGAACCCGTGTCCCCTGCATCGGCAGGCGGACTCTCAACCACTGGGCCACCAGGGAAACCCCTCATATGTGTTTATTCTATGAAGTTTGGAAATTACAGAAAAGAAAATGATCCATAATCTATTACCTGGAGATCATTCACATTCACATAATATCACCCCAGTAATATTATGGGGTATATATATCCTTCTAGTGTATATATGCTAAAGGAATATACATTAATGCAACCACTTTGGACAACACTTTATTGTTACCTAATAAGGGTAACAATACCCTTGGTCCAGCATCAGTCCTTCTGGATATAATCCCAGAGAGACTTACACGTGTGCAGTGGGAGCCGTGTGCTCATGCTGGAAGGCTCATAGCTGGACTGTTCATGACAGTGAAAAACTGGAAACAGCCGACGTTCATCAACAGGAGAATGGATGCAAAATAACTGTGGCAGATTTTCTCTTTTATTGGAATGCAATTGACACGTCACTAAGTTTTAAGTTGTACAGCATACTGACCTGATTCATTTATATATTGCAGCACGATTTCCATTGTAGCGTTAGCTTACACCTCCATCACTTCACCTAATTATCATTTCATTTTTGTGGTGGGAATAATCAAGTCTCCCAGCAGATTTGATGTATATAATACAGTATTGGTATCCATAAGCACCATACTTCACATTAGATCTTCAGGACCCATTCACCTACTAGTTGCAAGTTTGTACCCTTAAACAGCATCTTTCCAGGTGCTGGGCACCCCCAGCCCCTGGTAACCACCATCCTACTCTCTGTTTCCACGAACTTGGCTTTTTTAGATTCTGCATGTAAGTGAGATATTACAGTATTTGTCTCTGTCTGACTTACCTCACTTGGCGTAATGTTCTCAAGGTCCATCCATGTTGTCGCAAATGGCAGGATTTCCTTCTTTCTCATGGCTGAGTAATGTTCCATTTTATGCATATACCATATCGTCTTCATCCATCAATCTGTTGACAGACAGTTAGGGTGCTCCATACCTTGGCTGTTGTGAATAATGCAGTAAACACGGGGGTGCAAATATCTCTTTGATATCCTGTTTTCACTTCCTTTGAATATATACCCAGAAGTGGAATTGCTGGGTCAGGTAGTAGTTCTATTTTTAATATTTTGAGGAACCTTCATACTTTTTCTGTGGTGGCTGAACCAATTTATATTCCTACCAATGGTGTACAAGGGTTCCCTTTTCTCCACATCCTCACCAACACTTGTCATCTTTTGTCTTCTTGAAGATAGCTGCTCTAACAGGTGTGAGGTGATATCTCGTTGTGGGTTTTTTTTTTTTGCGGTATGCGGGCCTCTCACTGCTGTGGCCTCTCCCGTTGAGGAGCACAGGCTCCGGACGCGCAGGCTCAGCGGCCATGGCCCACGGGCCTAGCCGCTCCGCGGCGTGTGGGATCTTCCCAGACCGGGGCACGAACCCGTGTCCCCTGCATCGGCAGGCGGACTCTCAACCACTGGGCCACCAGAGGAGCCCCTCATTGTGGTTTTGATTTGCATTTCCCTGATGATTAGCGTTGCTGAGCATCTCTTCATGCACCTATTGGCCATTTGGATGTCTTCTTTGGAAAAATGTCTAGTTCCTCTGCCCATTTTTTAATTTGATTTGTTTGGCTTTTTGCTGTTTAGCTGTATGAGTTCTTTATATAATTTTGGATATTAACCCCTTATCAGATATGTGTTATTGCTGACTGAAAAAACAAAAAGCACAACCTAAAAGTTGAGAATTATGTTTTATTCTGGGACCTTACTGAGGACTATAGTCCAGAAAACAGCCTCTCAGATAGCTCTGAGGTAAGGGAGGAGCCAGAATATATGGGAGTTTTTGCTGAAAAAAAAACAAAACAAAAACAACATACAGGGGAACATCAAAAGATTACTGCTAATCACAAGAAACAGACATCTCAAGTTAATGATTTTAGTGCTTTTCTGTGTATGGGAAGATGCAAGATTCTGGGCTTATTGAAATCATTCCTTTAATATGCATTTTAACTACTGTATGGCTGGCACCCTGTCTCTCTCCATCCTGAATTCCCCTCAGGGTGCACTGGTGGAGGCAGGTGCAGTGACTGCTGGCTTGATGGTTGCAACATCCTTTGTTTACTGAAATGGCAGGCAGCATTCTTTGTCCACAGTGTGCAAATACTTTCTCCCATTTGGTAGGTTGTCTTTTCATTTTGTTCATTGCTTCTTTTGCTTTGCAGAAGCTTTTTAGTTTGATGTAGTCTCACTTTTTTTTTTAAAAATTATTTTATTTTGGCTGTGCTGGGTCTTCGTTGCAGCGCACTGGCTTCTCTGGTTGCGGTGTGCAGGCTTCTCTAGTTGTGGCGGGAGGGCTCTAGAGCACGGGCTCAGTAGTTGGCAGCACGCAGGCTTAGTTGCGGTATGTGGGATCTCAGTTCCCCGACCAGGGATTGAACCTGGGCCCCCTGCATTGGGAGCATGGAGTCTTAACCACTGGACCACCAGGGAAGTCCCCCTCACTTGTTTATTTTTGCTCGTATTGTTTTTTGTACTTCTGGTGTCAAATCCAAAGAAGCATCCCCAAGACTGATGTTGAGGAACTTCTTCCCTGTGTTTTCTTCTAGGTGTTTTATAGTATCAGATCTTATGTTTATGTCTTCGAGCCATTTCAAGGTAATTTTTGTGAGTGGTGTACAATAGGGGTTCAATTTCATTTTTCTACATGTGGTTACCCAGTTTTCCCAACACCATTTGTTGAAGAGACTGTCCTTTCCCAGGACATTTTCCCAGGTGTTCATTTTTTAAAAATTGAAGTATAGTTAATTTACAATGTTTTGTTAGTTTCAAGTGCACAGCAAAGTGATTCAGTTATACATACACATAATATATTCTTTTTCAGATTCTTTTCCATTATATGTTATTACAAGTTATTGCCTATAGTTTCCTGTGCTGTACAGTAGGTTCTTGTTGTTTACCTGTTTTATATATAGTAGTGTGTATATGTTAATCCCAAACTCCTAATATATCTCTCCCCACCCCTGCACCACTATCCCCTTTGGTAACCATAAGTTTGTTTTCTATGTCTGTGAGTCTGTGTCTGCTTTGTAAATAACTTTATTTGTATCCTTTTTTTTAGATTCCACATATAAGTGATATCATAGGATATTTGTCTTTCTCTGTCTGACTTACTTCACTTAATGTGATAATCTCGGGAATTCCCTGGCAGTCCAGTGGTTGGGACTTGGTGCTTTCACTGCTGGGGCCCGGGTTCAGACCCTGGTTGGGGAACTAATATCCCACAAGCAGTGCAGCGCAGCCAAAAATGAAAAAAAAAAAGAAATCTCTAGGGCCATTCATGTTGCTGCAAATGGCATTATTTCATTCACTTTTTTATGACTGAGTATTATTGCATTGTGTATATGTACCACATCTTTATCCATTCATCTGTTGATGTACATTTTGGTTGCTTCCATGACCTGGCTATTGTAAATAGTGCTGCAGTGAACATCAGGGTGCATGTGTCTTTTTGAATTATGATTTTTCTCTGGATATATGCCCAGGAATGAGATTGTAGGATCGTATTTTAATGCTATTTTTAGTTTTTAAAGGAAGCTCTATACAGTTCTCCAAAACGGTTGAACCAATTTACATTCCCACCAACAGTGTAGGAAGGTTCCCTTTTCTCCACAACCTCTCTAGCATTTATTATTTGTAGACTTTTTAATGACGGTCATTCTGACTGATATGAGGTGATACCTCATTGTAGTTCTCATTAGCATTTCTCTAATAATTAGTGATGTTGAGCATCTTTTCATGTGCCCATTGGCCATCTGTATGTCTTCTTTGGAGAAATGTCTGTTTAGGGTATTCTTTTTTTTTTTAATTTTTAAACAAATTTATTTATTTATTTATTTTTGGTTGCATTGGGTCTTCGTTGCTGCACGCAGGCTTTCTCTAGTTGTGGCGTGCAGGGGCTACTCTTTGTTGCAGTACGCGGGCTTCTTATTGCAGTGGCTTCTCTTGTTGCGGAGCACAGGCTCTAGGCACGTGGGCTCAGTAGTTGTGGCTCATGGGCTGTAGAGCACAGGCTCAGTAGTTGTGGCACACAGGCTTAGTTGCTTCATGGCATGTGGGATCTTCCCAGACCAGGGCTCGAACCCGTGTACCCTGCATTGGCAGGCGGGTTCTTAACCACTGCGCCACCGGGGAAGTCCCTGTTTAGGGTATTCTTGGCTCTCTTGTCAAATATTAGTTGAGTGTATACATGGCATTTTTAAATGAGCAAATACCATTGTATTCTGGGAGGAACACACTGGAGATTTCGAAGGTTATTAGTGATATTCCCTCCCTCCCTCCCTCCTTTCCTTCCTTCCTTCCTTTCTCATGGAAAATTTCTTACATATATAAAAATAGTATAGTATAATGAACCCCTGTGTATCCATCATCTACTTTCAGTAATTATCAAATCACGACAAATACTGCTTCATCCACACGCCTCATCCATTTCTCCCCCCAACCCTTCTCAAACTATTTTGAAGCATAATATTCATTTTCTTAAGTTGACTGATGGTAACATTTTGTTTCTTAACAAAAAAAAGGGGGGTGGTACACAGTTGTTCTTTTTATTATTATTCTTTAAACTGTATAGATATTTAAACTGTATATTTGTTTTGTAGTCATTTCTGCATGTATTTTGTTATAAAAACTTTAACTGCTCACTTTAAATCTTCATGAATACTTGAATTATCCTCCAAAGAGAATGTGCCATTTTATACTTCCACCTCCAGGGTATGAGATGCCCATCACCCCAGACTGTCACAGTGACAGATATTCTCAGACTTTTGGTACTTGGACCAGCAACAGGGGGGAAAGTACCAGCAATGTCTCATTCAAATGTGCTCTTCTACAACTAACGTTATGGGTCTGAGTCTTTTCAAAGCCACCGGTAATTGCGTGGTTCTTCATGGTCCTTAAATAAGAAGGTTAAGACTGTCTTCTCCTCAGGCAGAATGAATACCTTTTATTCAGTCTCTGCTTATTTCATTTCTTTTCTTATCTTTATTCTTTCTTCTTAAAGGACCTTGTATTAATCAGAATGTTTACAGTTGCAAGTGAGGGAAACACATCAATTTAGGCAAAAAGGGGGAACCATTGGCTCATGTACCTGGGCATTCCTGCCCTACTGAATCCAGGGCTCCAGCCTCTTCCTTTGTCTGGTCTTCTACTTCTCTCTCATTGTCCACCCTCCTTCCCTCTCCTGCACCCACCCCATCCTTCAACTCTGCTTCTCTCTCTTTGTTGGCCTTTCTCTCCCCTATTGGCAGGGGCCCTTGGCCACAATGCCCCAGGGAAGGGGGCCACTTAGAGTTCCAGGCTCACACACTCCCAGCTTAATAACCTCTGTGAAAAATGAAATCAGCTTTCTCCAGAGATACACTCTGAATGGATCTCTTTGATCACCTGCCCTCACAGGCCCTACCTCCCCGTGGCAGGGGGCAAGGATCCAGCTCCAGAAGAGGCAGGTGGGAAAGCTTGCTGGACAGTAAAAACAATAGCTATCACAGCCCACCACAAACCTGCTGGGTCTATACTGCATGAGTTTAACCATTTTCTTCATATTTTCCATCTCTTGGGGTTTTTCTCCTCGCTCAGGGATATGCCCTTGGCCCTGCAGGTCACTAAGTCTCTGGTGGATACCCTTGTTTTGGCAATCATGCTTTTCAATTTCAAGCTTCTTTTTTATGAATTGTTCCTTTTCTGTAGTCATCTGTTATTGTCTTATGGATGCAACAGCCTCTCAGATTACCCCGAGGAAACTAATTTTAGTTTCCTCAGATTCTGGTTTGGAATCTTTCTTCACTTTTTGGGTTTCTTTCTACATCTAATAATCCTTGGCTGCCCATTCCTGTTCTGAAGGAGGAAGTTGATTTGCATAAGGAGCCGGTGGTGTCAGTTTCCTCTGAGTATGTGGGTGTAGGTGTGGATGGAGTCCTCCTCCCAGGACTGAGTGTGTGTGAGTGTGTGTGAGTACCCTCAGAGCAGACAGCTTCCTGAATCCCGTAAAGGGAGGGGGCCTCTGGGGAAAACAGCCCAAGACAAACAGTCGAGGAAACCCACACTGGCCAGCTACACGAATCAGTCCCTTCCTTCCTTCATAAATAGGATCTTTTTGGTCGTTTTCCCTCAGAGACAGTTGAGAAGCCCAGTGTTCCTGCAGGATCTGCTGTAACCCCTCTGCAGGGCCACGCCCACATTCTTCACTGCGGGTCGGGTAAATCCTGTTGCAGGATTTACCAGTCTTCTGTGTGATGCCTGAGCTCTGGGAGCCAGTATAGCTGAACCCGCCAGGATAATCTCCCAGCGCTCCTTTAGTTACCTCCCCTGCTCTTTCCCCACAGCCCACTCTGCCTTGTGATGCCTCTCACTCCACTGTTACAGAATCTCTGCTTGGCCTTCTCCAGGGGTCTTAAGTAATAGTTTTGTTCTCCTCTGTTTTATCAGTTAATCTGATTACAGCCTTTCTTTTAATTTTTTTCTCATTGGAATAGCATTATATTTACTTTATTCTTTATTTAAAAATGTTCACAAATTATGCATAATGTTAGCATAGTGTATCGTATTATAATAATGATATATGGGGCAAATATAATAGTTGCCAGTTGGGACCCACTCTCCATCCTTCTCCACCCTGCTCTCCTATTTCTTCTCTTCCTCAACAACGCTTGTTACAATCTATCCTTCAGTGGCACTCATCCTGGTGTGTGTGAAGTGATATTTCACTGAGGATTTGATTTGAGTTTTCCTGATGGCAAATGATGTTTAGCATCTTTCATATGCTTATTGGTTATCTGTAGATCCTCTTTGGAGAACTATCTCTTGAATTCTGTGCCCATTTAAAAAAAATAAGGTTATTTGTCTTTTTATTATTGAGATGCAAGTGTTCCTTTTTTTTTGAGATGGAAGTGTTGTTCTTTATGTATATTCTAGATACATATCTATTATTAGGTATATGATTTTCAAATATTTTCTCCCACTCTGAGAATTGTCCTTTTACTTTCTTGATGGTATGTATACTTTGAAGCACAAAAGTTTTAAATTTTGGTGAATTCCAGTTTATGTATTTTTCTCGTTTGTTGCTTGTGGTTTTGGTGTTATATCTAAGAAACCATTGCCTAATGTCACAAATATTTACTCACATGTTTTCTTCTGAGAGTTTTATAGTTTTAGTTCTTATTCTTAGGTCTCTGATCCATTTTGAGTTAGTTTTTGTGTATGGTGTGAGAAAAGAATCCAGGTTCATTCTTTTCCAACTAGATAATCAGTTGTCTCAGTACGGTTTCTTAAAAAGACTTTTCTTTATCCATTGAATTGTCTTGGCACCCTTTGTCAAAAATCAGTTGACTGTAAGCATGAGGGTTTATTTTTGGACTGTCAGTTCTGTTCCACTGATCTATAGGTCTGTTCTTATGCCGTATCAACATTGTTTTGATTAATGTGGCTTTATAGTAAGTTTTGAAATCAGGAAGTATGAATTCTCCAACTTTGTTTTTCTTTCTCAAGATTGTTTTGGCTATTCTGGGTTCTTTGAATTTCTGTATGAATTTTAGGACCAGTTTATCAATTTCTGCAAAGAGGCAGCTGGGATTTTTATAGGGAGTGTGTTGAATCTGCTGATCAGTTTGGGGAGTATTGCCATCCTGACAATATTAAGTCTTCCCATTCTTGAACATGAAATGTCTTTCCATTTATTTAGGTCTTTTCATTTCTTTCAGTGAGGTTTTCAGTGTACAAGTCTTGTACATTTTTTGTTAAAGTTATTCCTAAGTATTGTATCATTTTTGATGCTTTTGGAAATGGACTTTTCTTAATCACATTTTATTATTATTCATTGTTAGTGTAGAAATACAAATTGTTTTTTGTATATTGACCCTGTATCCTACAACCTTGCTGAACACATTACTTCTGATAGTTTTCTAAATAGAAGATCATGTCGTCTGCATTTAGAGATAATTTTACATCTTCCTTTCCTTTTTCTTCTTATAAATTTTTATTTATTTATTTATTTTTGGCTGTGTTGGGTGTTCATTGCTGTGCACGGGCTTTCTCTAGTTGTGGCGAGCGGGGGCTACTCTTCGTTGTGGTGCGTGGGCTTCTCATTGCAGTGGCTTGTCTTGTTGTGGAGCATGGGCTCTAGGGCGCATGGGCTTCAGTAGTTGTGGTGTGCAGGCTCAGCAGTTGTGGCTCGCGGACTCTAGAGCGCACGCTCAGTAGTTGTGGTGCATGGGCTTAGTGTGTGGCATGTGGGATCTTCCCAGACCAGGGCTCGAACCCGTGTCCCCTGCATTGGCAGGCAGATTCTTAACCACTGAGCCACGAGATAAGTCCCTACATCTTCCTTTCCAATCTGGATGCCTTTCCTTTCTATTTCCTGCCTAATGGACCTAATGATACTCCAGTACAGTGTTGAATGAAAGTGGCAAGGTTGGATGTCCTTGCCTTGTTTCTGATCTTAAAATGAAAACATTGTCTTTCACCTTTAAGTATGATATTAGCTGTAGGCTTTTTGTAGATGTCCTTTATCAGGTTGTGGAAGTTCCCTTCTATTCCTAGTTTGCTGATTGTTTTTCTCATGAAAGAACGTAAGATTTCATTGAATGTTTTTTCTGCGTCTTTTGAAATAATCATGCCATTTTTGTCCTTTTTAAAATTAATGTGTTTTTCACTAATTTTTGCATATTCAACCAAAAATTTTATTTCTTATTTGACCTATTGTTTATTTAGGAGTGTGTTGTTTAATTTACACATATTTTTGTTTCCCAAATTATTTTCTGTTGTTGATTTTTAATTTGATTCTCTTGTTGTTGGAGAACATACTTTGTATAATTTCAGCCTTTTAAATCTGAGGCTTGTTATATGGGCTATCTTATGGTCTGTTCTAGAGAATATTCCATGTACACATAGGAGACATTTTGCTGTTGTTGGATAGAGTGTTATATAGAGGTCTGGTTGGTTTATAGTGTTAAGTCTTCTATTTCCTGTTCATCTTCTGCTTAGTTGTTCTGTCCACTATTTAAAATGAGGTATTGAAATCTCTAATCATTATTTTGGAATTGTCAGTTTCTCCCTTCAATCCTGTCATTGTTTGCTTCATGTATTTTGGAACACTGTTGCTAGACATGTGTATTTATAATTGTAATGTCTTCCTGATGGATTGACCTTCTTATAATTATAAAATACCCTTCTTTGTCTCTAGTAACAACTTTTGTCCTAAAGTCTATTTCATCTCACATTAAAATAGCTACAATAACTCTCTTTTGGGTACTGTTTGCAGTATATTTTTCCATCCTTTTACTTTCAGCATATTTGTGTCTTTGAATCTAAGGTGTCTCTTGCAGACAGTATACAGTGGGATCATTTTTTTTAATACATTTTGCCAAGCTCTATCTTTTGTTTGGCTTTTGAATCTATGACCTATCTCAGGCTCGTTCTGTGGCTATAAAAAGATAGCATGATAACTGCAATTAAACCTCATTTTCAAATATATTTTACAGCTCTTTACGGGGACAAGTCTTTTCTTCTTTGATATTCTTGAGGATTGCCAAGCTGGCCAAGATGGTAAAGTTTTTTTTGTCTGTTGGAAAAATCCTTAATTATTGAACAAAGTGAACAGCACTCAGAAATTTATGGCCCCCCCCAAAAAAAATGGGGGCGGGGAGGAGGTTAAAAAAAAGGAAGATAGCATGAGACATCCTTGTAATGGAACCGTTCTGTGTCTTGACTGTGGTGGTGTCATGCGTATCTACATGTGATAAAATTGCGTAGAAGTAAATACATACAAACGGGTCCGTGTAAACCTGACGGGGTCTGAATAAGATTGCTGGATTGTATCCGTCTTGGTCTCCTGCTTGTGACATTGTGCCATAGTTAGGCAAGATGTTACTATTGGGCAATTGGGTGAAGAGTATATTGGATCCCTTTGTATTTTTTTTTTGTTACTGCTACATGTGAATCTACAGTATTTCAAAATAAAAAGTTAAAAGCAAAATGCATGTTATCTCCGTTCCTTATATAAGGAAAAAAATACCCTCAGACATATTTGCGTGGGTCTGTTTCTAGGTTTTCTACATTGTTCCATTGATCTGTTGTATACATCCCTCCACCAGTAACACACTATCTTGATTGCTGTAGCTGTATAGTAAGTCTTAACATCCAGTAATTTCCCACTTTATTCTTTTTAAAAATTGTTTTAGTCTGTGTCCTTTATCTTTCTATATAAATGTTACAATAAGCTTGTCTATATCTACAAAAATCCTGGCTAGGAGTTTGATAAGAATTGTGTTAAACTTAATAGATCAATTTGGGAAGAATTGGCTTCTGTGTTGAGTTTTTTAATCCATGAACATGATTTATGCCTCTCTATAGTCATCTTCGATTTCTTTCTTTGGTGTTTTTGTAGTTTTCAGTACACAAATTCTATACGTGTTTTATTAGATATTTACCAAAGTATTTCAATTTTTCGAGCAATTATAAATGGTATTATATTTTTAACTTCTGTTTCTACATGTTCTTTTCAGCCTGTAAAAATGTGATTGATTTTGGAGTTCCCTGGCGGTCCAGTGGTTAGGACTCTGTGCGTTACTGCTGAGGGCCCGGGTTTGATCCCTGGTCAGGGAACTAAAAATCCCACAGGCCTCCTGTCACAGCCAAAAAGAAAAAAAAAGTGATTGATTTTTATGGGTTGATTTTTACCCTGTCACTTTGCTGACTCACTCATTAGTTCTAAGATTTTTTTTAAAAATTGATTCCTTGGGATTTTCTACGTGGACCATCATGTCATCTGCACATAGGGAGGAGTTTTAATTCTTCCTTTCTGTTGAGTATGCCTTTTATTTCCTTGTGTTCCAGCCACCTGCCTGTGTATGCCGAGGTGCAGGAGCCCTACGTGTACCTGCAGAGCAGCCAGGTGGAGGTCACCAACCTCTACCTGGGCGTGCCCACCAAGACGCCTGTCGCACTCATCAATGGCACACTCCTGCCCACACAGTTCCACTGGGGCAAGGTGGGTGAGCCCACACTGTCGGGCCCTAGGCCTGCAACCCTCAGCCCCAGAGGCCTGTGTGGAGGGGGCGTTGTCCCCCAGACACCGCCCAGAACAGATTACTGCCCCTGGAGCTGACTCTGCCGCCTGCCCCACGTGCCACGGCAGATGGGGCCACGTCCCTGTGCATCAGAGCCAGCTGTCCCTGTTCCCCATCACCCTGGGCCTCCCAGGGTGGCTTATTTAGTCCAGAGAACCCCTGACAGGGATGAGGTCCATCTGTGGTGGGAGAGGAGAGGAGAGGGGCCTGTGGTTTATCCCCACTCAGGAGCACCCCACCCTGCTGGTCTCGCTGGGGGACCCCAGTCCGCCAGCCTCCCCAGAGTATGCGGCAGTGCTGAGCCCTCTGTCTGGACCCCGGGTCCATCCTGGAGGCCCAGCACGTGACCCCACCAATGTGTCTGCCAGCTCCTGGGGCTCCAAGCAAGCTTCTGCACAGCAAAAGTCTCCCCGAGACGTGGCACGCTGGGCCCCCGTGAGGAGCGCCAGTTCAGCCTAGAGTTGACTGCTCATACCCAGGCGAGTGAGGGCTCAGGGGCCTGCGTGCCCAGGAAGCTCCCCCGGCTGCCTGCCTCTGTGCCGGCCAGGAGGTCCACCCCAGACCCCTCTCCTGGGCTGCGTCAGTGGGGACGAGACTTCTTGCATTTGGGTCTGGGGTCCCCACTCCCACTGGGCCTGCTGTCTAGGGACACAGGGCCTGGATGTGCCCTGACACCCTTGGGCACCACCTTTAGCCCTCGCCAGGCCATTCTCTTTGGAGCAGGTGGGCCCAGCTTTCCAGCTGCCCGGAGCTGCTGAACAGAGCTGCTGCCCACGGCGGGCCCTGTGCTGGGTGCTGCAGGGGAGTCTGAGCGGCACCCAGGCTCCTCCCAAGAAGGACACTGCTTCTCCTGGGTGCAGCCCACAGGAAGGCCATTGGGCCGAATGTGCTCAGCACTTGGGTGGTTGCCGGCTATCTGTTTGTGGTTCTTGTGGGGAAGGAAACTTCTTCCTCGCAGGGACTAGCAGCCCCAGGTCCCAGTCCTCTCTGGCGAACATGTGGACGGTGGGCTTTCTTACACAGCTGAGCCAGAGCTCGAGGGTGACGGCCGGGCCCAGGCCTGGCACAGAGCAGACCTCACGCAGAAAGGGCTTGATTTCTATGGTAGCAGCTTCATCAGGATAAATGTGCGGCTTCTCCAGAGGTCCGCTTGGAGGGGTCTCCTTCACGTGGGGCTGCCCAGGTATTCGGGGCCGACTCACAGCCAGGAGCCCTGAGGAAGGGGCCAGGCCTCCGGTGGGGGGCAGGGGTGGGCTGACAGGCCGGGTCTGGGCATAGTGACCCACTGAAGGGTCTGGGAGCCCTTCCACAGAGATGAGCCTGGACAAGACCTTTGGGTTGAGCGCCCCCCCCAAGCAGCCTCCTGTGCTGTGGGAGCCCATCTGAGGCCCCTCTGCTGAGGCCAAGCCCTGGGCTTTACCTGAGTGATGCACCCCCGGTGGGCTTCCTTATAGGACGAGTTGATGGACCTGGCCCTCCCTTGTAACGTGTTGGGCATGAAGGAGCCACTGGTTCTGGGCATTTCCGGGAAACCCCGGGGACTGCAGGTGGCCATCGCCATCTCTACAGAGGACGGCGACAGCAGGTGAGCCCAGGGCAGGCCCGGGGCCTGGGGGCTGAGGCAGCCGTTCAAAGGACCGGCCTTGAGGTGGTACCAGCCTCCTCCCCGTGATTCCCGCGGCCAGGAAAAGGCCCCTCACAGACTCTCTGGGGACAGCCCTGCCTAGCCCATCACCGCCTTCTCTGTGGTCTTTCCCCACACACCGGAGGCGTGGTGTTCAGGCGGGGAGACGGCAGGGGACGGGGCTCTGGGTACCTTGGGCTTTCCCGTACGAGGCCTGGCGACCGGGAGACAGGCCGGTCTGCCCCGACCAGGGAAAACCTGGGGAGTTTGAGGCCTCTCTTGGCATCACGGGTGGGCGAGTCGGGAGTCTCTGTGGGGTGGCAGCTTTTTTTTTTTTTTTTTTTTAATTTATTTATGGCTGTGTTGGGTCTTCGTTTCTGTGCAAGGGCTTTCTCTAGTTGTGGCAAGCGGGGGCCACTCTTCATCGCACGCACAGACTCAGTAATTGTGGCTCACGGGCCCAGTTGCTCCGCGGCATCTTCCCAGACCGGGGCCCGAACCCGTGTCCCCTGCATTGGCAGGCAGATTCTCAACCACTGCGCCACCAGGGAAGCCCTGGGGTGGCAGCTTAATGAGGGCTTGGAGGATGCAGCCTGGTTTCCGGGCAGCTCTGGCGCCCCCACCCCAGGTAGCTCGCTGGGCAGGGCCAAGGGTGGCGTGTAACCGGGTGCTCGTGGGCTCGGGGCAGTGTTGCCAGTGCAGAGCTGTGGCCAGGCCACCCGGAGAGGCTCCACCTGGACTTCGGCTCAGCAGTGCCACTGCGGACCCGCGTGAATCGCCAGCTTATCCTGACCAACTGCTCCCCGATACAGACCCCTTTTACCCTCAAGTTTGAGTACTTTGGGAGCCCTGCAAACAGCCTGCGCCAAAAACCCAGCCTGTAAGTCTGGTTTCTTTCAGAGGCTGCTTCTGGGGAGGATGTGGCCTGCTGAGGTGGAGGGCTTCGGACAGGCCAGGTGGTACTGGGGCCCGCGGACGAGGGAGAAGTTATTGTAGGTGGAGGGAACTGTGCGCAGAGATACAGTGAGGCCCGCTGCAAAGCTGTAGCTCGGAATCAACTGCATTGAAAGTGTTTACACCGAGAGGCTGGCTAAGTTTACCAGCACCCCGCTGCAGACGCCTCGCCACCAAAGCTCCTAAGGCGGGGGTGGGAGGGGGGGAGTGGTGGCGGGAGCTTCAAAACCACCGACTGCTGGTGTTGCAGGGCACCAGGAACAGCTCCTGAGCCATTAACTTGCCCATTGCAGAAAGTTAGCATGTGTTCAGTGCAGGACAGATGTCAGCAGGAAAGAGTGGAAACGGCCTGTTGCAGAAGGCTGGACAAGGGTTGGGGAGTCGGGGCTGGGTTTTCATCCATGGGTCACCAAGGTGCAGAGCCTGGGGATCGGGGTCCCTGCCCTGGAGCCCTCCTGAGTTTGTTGGGAGGCAATCCCTGGGGCTGGCAGGCGGCCTGCAGCTGGGATGCTTTGGGTGGTAGGGGTGCAGCGCGAGCAAAGACCACAGACAGAGGTGAAGAGGAGGCCTGACCAGCTCTCCCTTGGGAGGAGCAGGCAGGGCCACCTTCTTCTGCTGGGCACCTGGGGGGATGCTGGTTGCCAGGGGAGGTGGCTCAGGTCTGGGGAAGGGCCCGGATGGCTTGATGTGATTTCCACGTCCCGTCTTGTCAAGCCCCGACATGCCTCCTGCCCTGCTGAAGATGGCTCGGATGCGGGAGCTCTTGGCCAAGCGAGAGCAGCTGGGTAAGAGTCCCAGGGCAGGCGCTGAGCCCAGGCCTGGCCAGAGCGGCGTTTCGCGTGGCCTTCCAAGGAGGTGGGCCGGTTGCTGCAGGAGGGGACCCTGACCAGAGACCACTTCTCAGCGTCTTTTCTAGCAAGGTCCCTGAGATGGCCGTGGCCCTCCACCTGACAGCACCCCCTCTTTTAAACGAGGCCATCCCCTTGCCAAGGGCGTACGGCTTGTGCACAGGGCCTGGCTTCGATTTGGGAGGGGTGGTGGCTCAGAAGGGAGGGCTGAGGCTCGGCCCTTGTGGGAGGTGAGAGAAGCTTGGACGCTGGGCCCCAGGCTCCCAGGAGGAGGGTCTGTTTAGCCAGACCAAGGAGAGGCTGTAGGTTGGCTTGTCTGGTTCAGTGCTTTGCTGACGCTTGAGGGTTTGGACCTCTTTCCTGCCCTGGGGCCTGAATCCCCATTCCTGGTTCTGCTGTAGAGTTTATGGAAAGCATGCTGTCCCACGGGAAAGGAGCTGCCTTCTTTCCCCACCTCTCCCAGGGCGTGCTGGGGGCCCACCAACAGCTTGGCATTGACCTCACAGCCTGTGCGAACATGTGGGGCGAGTACTGGGACAGCCTCATCTGCACAGTAAGTAAACAAAGTAAACGTGTCCCAAATCCTAGGCTACTGAGTTATTGCACAGAAGATTTTCCTGAACTATTTAGTAAATTGGATGCGTTAGTTATGGTAGATATTTGCTTTAAATTGTGCTGTGCCCAATGACAAAGAGTTGATCACCTTAATATACAAAGCATTTCTGGACTAACAATAAGGGGGGCAAAAGCATCCCAAATAGACAAAGGGTTTGAATAGGCAACTCAAGAATGACAAAGAGAGACGGCCAGCGAACGTGAAACATGTCACCAGCACTGGTAACCAAAGAAGTGAGGGTTAAACCACTGAAATACTAGTCTTTGTGAGATTAGCAAGGTTCAAAAGTTGTCAGTGAAGGTGCAGGGGAAAGGTACTCACGTGCACGGCGAGGCCGGCTGGGAAATGTGTGCCACCCTTCGGAGGCACTTCTGCAGGGCGCTGGGGACACACAGTTAAGGTTGCCTCAAGGAAAGAAGTGGACACAGGGAACAAATAAATTCACACCAGGCTTCCTTTTCTTCTCAGCGTTGTTTGTAATAGAGGGGGGAGAAAAAAGCAAACGGTGTAAACATCCATGTCCATCAGGAGAAGATCGGATGAAAACATTAGGCTACATCCACGCAGTGGAATTCCGGACAGCCCGTTAAATGATGCTGTAAACCTTCATTAGTAAAATTATCATATGTTGTAAAGAGAAAAGAGATTACCAAAACAAAGCATGCCCAGAATGCTCCTCATTTATATCTGTGTTTTATGCACACAAGTCTGTCTAGACAGTGGTACACTGAAATGTTAACAGTGAGTCATGCTGGGGGGTGGGGTAGGATCATGGGTGAAATACATTCTATTTTAAATTAAAAAAAGACATTTATCGCTTTTTATTAGCAGAGAAAAATAATAAAGTTATTTCCATTTAAAAGATAAAGAAATGTAATCAAAGGGGCCATAAGAGGCCAAAGACCCTCAAGCTGGGAGATCCGTGCAGTCGCACACAGGGCTGGGCGGGAGAGTAGAGACGGGAGGGCAGGACAGGGAAGCGGGGGCTGGGAGGCCAGACCTTTGGGGGGATCTGGGGTGAGTGTCAGACATGGGGGAGTGAGTCCCCGCCCAGTTGCGACCAAGCTTTGGGGACCCTGGGCTGGCTGGAGGAGGGAGGGCCTCGAACGGAGGGGATGGGGAGCCAGGGGTTGCGGTAGCAGCCGGTGACGAGAGCAACGCATGACTGCTGTGTTTGCAGGTGGGAGACCTGCCTCCAGCGGTCATCCCGGTGCACATGGCGGTGGTGGGCTGCCCCATCAGCTCCCACAGGACCGCCCACTACACCACTGACCAGATCCAGAAGGAGCCTGTTGTCAGGTATCCCTGCCTCGCCCCCGCCCACCTCCTGCTCTAACCCTTGAAACCCTCTGGCCTCCACCCCGGGCTGCCCACGCCAACTCGTTGCTGTCCCGCTGGCCCAGGGCCACTTGGTGCCACCCAGCTCGAAAGCCCCAAGCCAGGGCTACCCCAGAGGAGAGAGGCCTCAGGGGGCACGGCCGTGATCTGCACATCTCCGAGGGATTTGCGGGGACAGAAGTACCGAGTAGTCACTTGTGGTCCGAGGTCAGGGCCGGACTTGGGACCCCTCACTCCAACTGCTTTGGGGTCTGTGTGGTTGGTCAGTGCGGTTGCAGAGTGGGTGGGGTTTACTGGTGAGCAGTCCTGGGTCATGGTTCACCGGGCACCGCATGGGGAGGGCCTCCAGCCCTGGGGCTCAGTTACTCTGGGCTGAAGACAGACCGCTATGGGGCCTCCTGCCTGCCTGAGCCCCGGCCTTCCTCTCTCAGGAGAGCTGGCCTGTGGGGTGTGCGCTGGCTGTGGCCCTGCTGACCCTCGTCTCCTGTCTCCAGGTTCGGCACCCAGGTCTCTGGAGGAGACACCATCACCCGGATCCTTCGCCTGAGTAATTCCAGCCCCTGTGGTGAGATGCTCGCGAGAGAAATCGGGGCTCTTGCTGCAGGCTCTGCCGTGTGGTGGGCCAGGCTGGGAGGGAAGATTGGGGTGGGGGAAGCTGATGGCCCACGACCTGGAGCCAAGTGGGCTGGGGTATGGAGGGAGGCCCCCAAGGGCCAAGGTCAGGACTGGCCAAGCCACTCTTGGGTTGTCAGAGCCACTTCCACCCGAGAAGACAGGACTTATCCTTGCCTGGGGTCTCCCAGTGTCCATGGGCCACAGATGCCCTCCCCTGGTCGGGTTCACTTTGCATAGGGACAGGCACTTGTAGGGGACACCTTTTCTCTTCCCTTCAGCCAGCAGCCCCTGAGCTATTTGCCAGGTGCTGTGCAAGGAGCTGGGGATACAGGGGCAACAGGACAGCAGGGGCTGTGCCTGATGGGCAGGACGGACGTGACCATGGGCTGCCAGTGTAGAGTGCACTGAGTGCAACTATGGGGGCGGCCAGAGTGCTGGGGGTCTGTGTCAAGGGCCATCAGGCTGAGGCCAGGAGGAGAGCGACCCAGCTGGGCCTGAGGGAGCTTATGGGCCACAGGAAGAGCCAGGGCCAGCTGAGAACCAGAGTCTCCCGGGGATTATTTAAAGCACCTTGAGGCTCGGCCACCCCAGACCAAGTGAACCACAGTCTCTAGGGGCAGGGCCTGGGCACTGTAGTTTTTAAGCTCCTCGGGGACTCAAGGGAACATCCTGTTGGTGGAAGAGAATGGCCACTCTGTGACCTTGCTTATTTTTGACCACTGGATCTGTGCATTTGGGGTGTATTGGACCACTCTAATCATATCTTTATCAAGTTCTTCTGGCGTTTGTAGTTTTGCTGTGTTTTTAGCTTCTGTATTGTTAGATGCACTTGACAGCTAATGATGCCTCTTATCACCCTGTAACCTTCCTCTTTGGCCCCTTCAGTGCTTAAATCCCGCCTCACCGAATAGCAACATTGCTCCCGCTGGTTGTATACTGGCATTTGCCTGGTATGTCTTTGCCCATCCCTCTGTTTTCACCCTTTATGACTTTGATGTGTGTTTCTCTGTAAACAGCCGGGATCTGAGCTTTAGGAAATCTATGTATTTCTTCTTCTTTTATGATTTATTTCACTGTTATTTTTCTGCTTTCTTCGTTTTGCTTTTTGTGACTTCTGTTTTCCCTTCGTTTAATTTGGGATTTCTCTTCTACTTTCCTGGTTACCGTTGCTTCCTTGGGGCTCATCATCACACGCACATTCCTCCGTACCTGAAAGTGAGACTGTCCTCTGCACTTGAGAGTATGGAAGCCACTGGTGGCCTTGGTGAGAGTGGTTCCGTGCGTGAAAGAGGCAGATACCAGGTAGTAACCCTAGGGACTACAAGTTCGGGGACCTTGCGTGGGCATGTCTTCACCAGGCGTTCATTCCCCAGGGGCGAGCCATGAATCCGAGGTGAGCGGGGAGTGGGGGGGAGGCGCTCATGGATTGTTCGTCCTCCAAGCTTGCTGTGGAGAGGAGAGGTGGTACTGGAAAGGTCTGGCAGAGGGAAGCTTGTTTAAGTGCTGTGGGGAAGCAGCCAGGAGAGAGGGGAGATGGGACACATCTGGCCCCTGAGAAGAGGGGTGCAGGGATGGGGTAGATGCAGACAGATGGGGGGCTCCGGGCAGGACTTTTTTCTGGGAGGTGAGGTGGGACCACCCACTGAGTGCCAGAGGAGACCAGGGAAGACAGTGTCGTGGTGCAGGTACGCAGGGACGGCCGAGCAGTCAACAGTGATGGGCAGAGTGGGGGCGCAGTTTAGGTTGGGGACATATTTATGGGAGTGGCACGTTGTTTAGAATGTGGGGGACTTGCTCACTGGGGCCTAGATGGTCGGTTCCGTTCCCCCAGGGTTAGGTTTTTTCCCAGTGGGTACAAGGATGGGGGCAGAGAGAGAGATGAGAATCCTGGCCAGACAGTTGCCAGTGGCAGCCCCCAGAGACTCGCCTGGCTGGGGAAGGAAGTGAAAGCAGGCGGGCGCTAAAGGATGGAGGGGAGGAGGCAGGGGACACGGGGAATGAAGGGCCCAGTGGTCAGCAAAAAGGCCAGAAGGAAAGGAGGGTGTGGGGAGAGCACACAGGGAGCCGGATTTCTGCATCTGGACATGAAACCTGGTCTTGTGATCCAGAGGGCAAGGGCTGGCATAAGCCTGTAGACTCTCCTAAAACAAGAATTGCCTGCAAGTGACATCGAGGAGCCAGGCCCCCTCCACCCTGAGTGTGGGAGACCTGGCAGCCTCCGGGGGCTGCAGGGAGTGGGGGGGGGCGCCCAGAGAAGAGTCTGCTCCTTCCTTATCCCTCGCCTCTCTCCCCCATGTCTGCCCCAGACATCCGCCTGGACTGGGAGACCTACGCTCCAGAGGCCAAGGAGGACCGGCTGCTGGAGCTGCTGGTGTCCTATGGGCCACCCTTCCCGCTGCGGGACCAAGCTGGGAACGGCCTCCTGTGCCCTGAGACCCCTGAGAGCAGCAGCTCCTTCTGGTCCCCAAGTCCCTCTGACGTGTCCAAGTCCAGCCGTGAAGCTGCCCAGTCTGTGAGCAGGGGTGGCGGGAGGGCTGCCGGGCTGTGGCCAGTGGGCCTCGAGCCTGCGTGAGCCTCAGCGACTCCTGGACCACAGGCTGAGGGCGGTTCCAGTGCCGGCGCCTCCCAGGAAATCATCTCAGTCACCCTGCAGGGGCGCGAGGGGGTGCCCTCTGACCAGCTGTTCTCCATCAGCCCCAAGCAGGTGGTGAGTTGGGGCGGGGCTGGGAGCTCTGGGCGGGGGGTCGGGGTGGGTGTCCCCCTGGCCGGGAGGGACAGGCAGCGCTGAGGCTGCTGTGTGCGTCTGCCAGGTGGTCCCCGCAGGGGGCAGCAGCACCATCCGCATCTCCTTCACACCCGTGGTCCTGGGCCCTGACGTCCTGCACAAGGTGGAGTGTACTGGCTCCGCCCTGGGCTCCATGAGCTTGGATGACGAGGTGAGCGCTCCTGGCCTGGGGAGGGCCCCCACCATTGCCTCTCCCTGAGGGAGCTCGCCCGCTGCCTGCTCAGCTCGGGCGCCCGTGATTGGGCTTGGGCTCGGCAGGTGGAGAGGGAGCTTCCGGGGAGGAGGCGCCGCCTGCAGGGCTCGGCTGTGGGACCCGTGAGGCTGCACCTGCACGGCTACGTGAGGCCTGCGCAGTGAGTCAGCTGGGCTGCCTGGCCTCCCTGCGGCCCGCTGTGGGGGTCAGCCTTCCCCGGCACTGCTGGGGACCAGACAGGGTCCTGGGAGCAAGAGGATGGGGACGGGAGGGAGAAGCTGGCGGGTGCGCCCAGGGCAAGGCCGGCCAGGTCAGCTGGGCCCCAGAAGCCCAGCCATGCCTGTCGCTGGCAGGCTGAGCGTGGAGCTGGACTCCGGCAGCGTGGTGTTCTGGCACCAGGCCAGCGACCTCATCCCCGAGCAGCGCTGTGCTGGGGTGAGTGTGCTGCACGCTCCCCCCCCCGCCCGCCGCCCCGGCCCTCCCGAGCTACCTGGTCCTCAGACCTCTCCCGCAGCCCCCTGTGGGGCACAGGCCTGACAGTCCGGGTCCCCTCCCCCGGGACCCCCCACCCCCCACCCGAGTCAGGGGCTCCGGAGGGCAGAATTGAGTCCCCTCCCCGACCTCTGTGGCCGCCCAGGTGCTGAGTGAGCTGGTGACCACCCGCCACCTGAAGCTGACCAACACCACGGAAATCCCACACTACTTCCGGCTCCTGGTCTCCAGGCCCTTCTCTGTTTCTCAAGATGGGGAGAGCCGCAGCCACAGGGCTCCCGGCCCCAGCTGGAAGCAGGAGTGCAAGGAGGGAACAGCAGCAGCCGGCAAGCAGCTGGTACTCTACCCACAGGAGAACATGCTGGTCAGTGGGAGCTTCTGTGGTCCCTGCCTACAATGGGCACACTCACCTGGGCTGGGGCTCACCTTCCTCTCACGTTTGCGCATGCAGCACCCTCCAGGTCTGGACGTAGACACAGACAGTGGTGTCCACACACGAACCACACGCTTGGCCCCGCCATGCGCTGTGCGCTCAGGGGCGGACACCCATCACACGCACCATGTCCAGCAAACCCCTCCGCACAGGGGCCCTCCACGCGCAGGAACGCCCAGACCCATCAGTGTGGACACTCGCGAGTCCCAGACACACCAGACCCCACTCTTCGTCCCCTCCACCAGTGTCCTGGTCCTGCGAGGACCTCCACGCGGCACAGACCCCCCTTCTTGTGTGCCCTCACGCAGGGTTTCATCACCATCTTTCCATAAACATAAGGCACACCAGAAACACAGTTCCCCAGGCCCCACTGCCAGAGATGAGAAGATCTGGGCTGAGGCCCGGGAACCCGTTTTCCTAACAGGTGCCTTTGATGAATCTGTGGATCTGGGTCCACAGACCTGGGTTGGGGAGCCCCGTGTACAAGCCCCATCCTGTTAGGCCCAAGTTACACCCTGGCCCCCAGATACCCACTCATGCTCCCCCAGCCCCCTCCCCACAGTCTCCAGGGTGGCCCCTGAGGAAGGCAGAGCTGACTGCACGTCCCCTGCTTAAAACCCGGCAGGGGCTCCTCACTGCCCCCAGAACAAAGACACAGGCCTGACTTGGGCCTACGGGCCTGCCCGCAGCCCTGGTCACGCGAGTGGAGCCGCCCAATCCTCCGGCCTCTCAGCTCCCGAGGGCTGCTCAGCCCTGTCCCCAGTACTGACGGCTGTTGGGCAGGGAGCAGGGCACAGTGTGAGGAGTGAATGCACCAGGCAGGGTCCGCAGGAGGGAAGGATGGAGCTCTGGGCGGGGAGGCCGCCGCCCACCTCCAGCAGTCTGAGGTGACGGCTTGTCCACATCTGCTCAGGTGAATGTGTCCTTTTCCCTCTCCCTGGAGCTGCTCTCCTATCAGAAGCTCCCGGCTGACCAGATGTTGTCTGGAGTGGACATGCAGCAGAGCGCGAGTGGAGAGAAAAAGATGGTCTTCACTCAGAATCTGCTACTGGAATACAGCAACCAGACCACTCAGGTGAGTCCCAGGCCTGCCTCATGTGTTCAGGTGGGGTCAGAGGACAAACCCCAGTTGTCTGCCTGGGAAGAGGCCTGGCACATGGAGAGATGAGGGTCATCCATCCTTACCTGTCTTAGGAGCTCAGAGCGAGGTGGGGTGCTGTAGGGTGCAAAATCAGGGAAGGCTTCCTGGAGAAGGAGGTGGCATGCGAAGCCTGCATGCTGTTTAACAGAGAGAGAAGGGAAACCAGGCCAAGGGAATGGCCTGATGGGTGGGGACTGAGCAGCTGAGGGACGCCTCCTGGGCTCGTGTGGGTCTGCGAGCACCAGGTGAGAATACCACGGGCCTCGTTCTTGTTCTGTGGCCTGTGACAGCTCCACACCACAGCCCCACCTGCCCTGAGTTGGAGAGGCCAAGGAAAAAGGTTAGATGGCCCAGAGCCCAAGGGGAGCAGAGGGCTAGATGAGAGGGGAGAGGAAGGCAGTAGGGCGGCCCGACCAGGGAGCAGAAACCACAGAGCTGGATCCAGGGCAGGGGTGGCAAGGGAGTCAGAGGGGAGCAGATGGCGCGTTCCTGGCCCTTTTCCTGCCCAGAATCCCACCAGCATCCCCTGGCTTTAGATGACAGCGCTGGCCCCCTTCCACCAGCTGTGGTGCTGCCTGTACGTCCCTCAGAAGCTGCAGTACTTGGGGTCGGCAGGGCCCCTGTGTCCCTGGCTCAGAGCCCAGTGGGAGTGGGTAAGGTCACCCAGTCCCTACCAAGTTAAAGGTTCTGTCCCCCGCAAGGTGGTGCCCCTGCGGGCCGTCGTGGCCGTGCCTGAGCTGCAGCTCTCCACCAGCTGGGTGGACTTCGGGACCTGCTTCGTGAACCAGGGCCGCATCCGGGAGGTCTACCTGATGAACCTGAGCGGCTCCCGGAGCTACTGGGCCGTGTTGACAGGTGTGCCATGCCCTCCTCCCTGCTCCCCCGTGCAGCTGGGCCTGCGTGCCCTGTCCCTGCAGGCTGGCTCCCCAGGGTTGGGCCCACCTGAGAATTCCTGCAGAGGTGGGCAGGAGCAGAGGCGCACCCCCAAGATGCGGGCAGGGGGCCGAGCATGGAGCTGGCTGCGCTCCTGCATGTCCCCTTCCCCTCACGCAGGCCAGCAGGAGCCAGACAAGGACCCTGTTGCCTTCAGGGTCACCCCAAGCAGTGGGCTGCTGGAGGCACGACCGGTCAACGCGCCCCCCACCTCCGTCCCCCTCCAGGTTTCCTTCACCGCCAGGTACGGCCCTCCCAGCCTCGCTGGCGCTGCCTCTGGAGCCCTGGCCCAGGGCCCCCAACTCATCTCAGCCCCTGCTCCCCACAGGAGCTGTGAGCTGTACGAGTCCACGCTGGTGGTGGAAGGTGTGCTCGGTGAGAAATCCGGCACCCTGCGGCTCCGGGGCCGAGGCTCGTATGATGAGAAATATGCATCGCCCTACTAGCTCTGAGCCTCTGCCCTCAACCCCCAATACTGGAAATAAACACGGCCCAGAGCTATGGAGCAGGTTTACTGGGCAAAGGCACCTACTGGAGGACCTCTGAACAGCTCCTGGGATGGAGGGACTTCCCCCCCCACCCCGCCCCCCCCCCCCCACTTCCAGGCCCTGCACCCTGTGTCCTCAGAGCTAATACAAAGGGTCGGCCACACCCCTGTGGAGACCAGAGCAGTTAAAAGAGTCACTATTCAGATTCAGCAGAGGCAGGACTAGCATACCAAGAACTGGCTCGCTCTTGGGGAAAAAAACCACAGCCACTAAGAGAAGGTAATGCGTTTACTATGTTTACTGCACTCCGCATCCCCAGGCCCCTTCCCCCAGGAATCACGGTGGCCTTGCAGGCTGGGTGAGCCAGGCCAACTTTGCCTGTCTCAGCTAGAGGGGCCCGACAGATGGCAGCCCGATACCTCACCCGCTCCCGTACTGTCTCATCAGTGTTCACATTTGCCAGCTCAGCTGAAGTGCCTTGACTTGCCACTGCCGCCAGTGCTGGGACTCCCCAGGTGTCACGTCTGTAGCGCTACTGCCAGAGCACTGGCCTGGGCCTCTTTCAGTTTCCAGGGTATTCGAAGACGGCGGCTGCTCCCATGCCGGTCCCGATGCACATGGACACCACCCCATACGCCCTGTGGGAGCAAAATGTGCTGGTTGGGTGAAGGCACAAAGGGCAGAAGCCCAACCACCAAGCTCTCCTCGGACCAGGCTGAGCTGGGTGGACCAAGGCCTTCACGGGCACAGGACGCCAGACCTTGGGGAACGTGGTTCCCGGCCTGCCCGCCGAGGGGCGCACACGGTGGCCGATGCCTGCCGCAGGCCAGGGGCCCGTCTCCTCAGCTCGGAGTGTGGGGGGGGCAGGCGGGGGCGCGTACACCTCCCCCCATCAGGCGCACCAGCTGGGCCCCCCCCCCGACCCCCACGGGGACCGGCCTTACCGCCTCCCGCGGCGCTTCAGCTCGTTGAGCAGCGTGATGACCTGTCGTGCCCCAGTGCAGCCCAGCGGGTGGCCCAAGGCCACCGCACCCCCCAGAGGGTTCACCTTCTCAGGGGGCAGTTGCAGCTTCTCCACACAGTAGACGACCTGGAGGGAGGCTGAGCATCAGCTGTAGCTCCCTCCCCCGCACCACCCGCCCGCTGCCTCCAACTAGGCGGCCCAGGCAACAATGCAAAACGGGCTCACCTGACTTGCGAAGGCCTCATTGATCTCAAAGATGTCCACGTCCTCCACCGTCAACCCTGCAGGCAAGCGGAAAAGACCTGAGCTGACCCAGCGGCCCCTTAGCAGGCTTCTCATACTCCCTGGGGCCCTGCGCCATCCATGGTCTGGAGGCTGGGCTGCCCGGTGTGTCTGCCTCTGTTCCAGATGGGTGAGCGGGTCCCAGCTGTGGGGTCAGGAAGGGGTCGGGGTGCCCCCACCTTCACTCTGCGGCACCCGCAGGCCCACCCCGGGCACCCGCCTCTGGCAACAGCACGAGAGGCAGGGGCTGGATCCAAACCTAGGGTGTGAAGGAGCCATCTTACCTGCTTTTTGCAAAGCTACAGGGATGGCATAGGCAGGTCCAATGCCCATGATGTCAGGCGGGACCCCAACCACTGCATAGGACCTCAGGACCCCAAGGATGGGAAGGCCCAACTCTTCTGCCTTGGACCTCCTGGCCAGCAGGATGGCAGCTGCCCCGTCACTCACCTGGCTAGAGTTTCCTAGAGGCAAACCACAGGGTTAAGGAGGCCTCGGGGCAGCTCCGAGGAGGTCCAGACCTTCCATATCCACCCTGCCCGGTGGCTCCAGGCTCCCAGAGGAGAACACCTGGCACGGAAGCAGCCCCCTCCTCACCCCACCCCCAGCCCAGTCTCACCAGCTGTGGTAGAGCCCCCCTTCTTGAAGGCAGGCTTCAGTTTGGCCAGGCCCTCCAGGGTGGTGTCGGGGCGGATGCCCTCATCGTGGGCCACGGTGACACTTCTCTCAGTGCCTTTGTCATCACGGACCGTGGTGGTCACAGGCACAATCTCGGCTTGGAAACAGCCCTTGCTCTGGGCTCTGGCTGCCCTGCCAGCACCGTGGACAGCCAGGCTCAGGTTTCCATGGGGTTACCTTCCTTCCTGGGGTCCCTCCCTGAGGCTTCCGCCTCCTGCCCTGCCCTGCCCTCTGGGACAGACATGCAAGCTCAGGCTGCTACATGCGGGGTCACACTCACCTCGGGGGGAGTGCAGAGGGTCCCCTACTACCCCACCTGCCCTGGGACTGGGAAGCCCAGGGCTTTACCGGGATTTCTTGGCCATCAGCCTTAGATCTTCAGATCCTGGCTTATCCCAACCTCAAAGGGGAGGGGGAAGTTTGGAAGTGGCGTCTCCCCTTGGGAGACCTTCACCCAAGAGGGACTAAGCCAAACTGAGGCTGGAGCCCCAGGAATATTTGTGCGGGGTTCTGCCAGCTTTTCTGTTCCCTCCCGTCGCTCAATTCCATCCATTCCCCATGTTTCCACGTGATTAAAATGACATATACTACCCTGAATAAATCTATGCAAAATTTGCATGAGTGACACGATTAACACAAACTTGTTAGTGAGATAAAACTTTTTAAATGTCAAAATAAAATAAAATGCCATATACCAAACTACTGGATGAGTCTTTGTATTTAAACAGTGTAAAAGCACAGGGCATTTTAGGGTGATCCTTGCAATCATATGTAAAATGTAAGGGCCCACAGGCATTCCCATGGGGAGGAAGCCACGGCTTTCACCAGATTCTCAAATGGTTACTTGCACCCAAGTGGCTAAGAACCACTGCCTCAGTGTCCCCAGCCCCTGCCTCAGGATGCTACCCCAGACTCAAGGATGCCAGGGTCCCCGGCAGCACTGGCTCCACCCTCCAGGCTATCCAGAGAAGCCTGTGGTTACCATGTCTAATCACCAAACCACAGCCAGCTAGAGAAGAGCCCTGGCCCTCCTTACACTCTCAATAAATGGATGGGGAAACCGAGGCCAAGCTAGGGAAAGACACTCAGGGTAAACAGACTGTAATGGGACACAGTGCTAACTGCACAGTGGCCCCCCGCCCTCACCCACCTCCCCCTTCTGGGAGGTAGAGGCTTGGAAACCAGTGGTAGCCTAAGGGCAGCTCCACCTGAGATCACTTAGGACAGCCTCCAAACCTCACTCTCCAGCCCTTTAAACATCTCACCCCAAATAGCACTCACTTTTGCTGGGAAGCCAGTGCAAAGGTATCCTGCTTCTCCCGCGAAATGCCAAACCGCTCGGCTACGTTCTCTGAGGTTATCCTAGAACACAGACAACGAACAGTGAGCGTGGAGCCAGGCAGCCTGGGGACGGGCCCCAGGGCTGCAGGCAGGAGAACCGGAGGGCCTGTCTGTGCTACCGTGACAGTAGTGATGACTCAGGGCGGAGCACAGGCAGGGAGTCAGCGACGCTGGCCAGACTCTAAGACGCCTGTTCACCAGAGACCAGCACACAGGAGGGCGTGGGTAGGGCACTAACTGGCTTGGCCAGCTTCTCTTGTGCCTCAATGAAAAGTGCTTTACCGTGGGAGAGGAGTCCCGCTCTGGGAAGGCCACACCCAGCTTTCTGCTCCCCGTAGCTGGAGCCTCCCCTCATCCTGGGAGCCCAGAGCCACAGAGGGGCCTTTGGCCGGGGCTTCTGGCTTTACAGGCTTCCCTCGGAGATGGTCCCTGGATGTGGAGGCAGCTGCACATCCCCTCACACGTCCAGCGGAGCCACGACTCCCTGCCCACGGACCCCGGGGGTGGCTCTGGATGCAGAGCTTAGCTGCTCTGCGAATGCAGCACCTTTGATGCTGCACTGACAGGGCCCAAGGGCCCTCGCCAGCATGGCCGGTGAGCAAAAGCCTCCCGCCTCTTCAACTTTCTAGGCCTCCAAGGCTTTAGGGTGCAGCTGCCATCATGCCTTGTGTGACTGAGCCCCTCAGGGTGGGAGTGACAGGCTGGGCCATGCTTGTAAACCCAGAGGCACAGAGCGGACTGGGGGCCTCAGGACACGGAAGTCAGGGCCAGCACTAAGTCCCATGCCCAGAGTCCCTGCAGAGCAGACCAGGGCCGAAGGCGGGAGGCCACAAGATAATCCAAGTTCCTGCACCCCTGCTCCAGGCCAGGCAGGGAGCTGAGCGGGGACAGGCACACGGAGCCACGGTGGGCGCTCACCCCATAGGAATCAGGCAATCTCTGGCCTTCTCCTTCTCCACCAAGCGAGAGGTAACATTTCCAGGGTTCGCTCTGTCTGCCAGGGACATGGACTCCACCCTGAAGAGGAGGTGATCATCAGCAGGACTCCCCACGGAGAGCTCTGCGTCTGGCAAGTGCTGGGAAGTGGCCAGGGAGCTCAAGGCAGAGCACTGGCCGGCAGCACAGAGCTGGGGGTGCAGGGCTGCTGAGCCCCAGCCGCACCCTCGCCCCCACCGCTGCACAATCCACATGCCTGGGCAGGGCCTCGCTTCCCAGCACAATTGGTCCTGCAGCCAGTCCCAAGGAAAGCAGCCTAGTGTTGGCCACCGTGGGAGAAACTCGTCTAACAAGCCCGGGCCCTGCCCTCAGGGGCCACAAATTCAGCGGAGAGAAGAGACAAATGTTTTAAAAGCTGCACATCAAAGAGCAAGCCGACCTGCATAGACCAGGAGGTGCTAGGAGCCCAGGGAAAGAGGAGCGATCTCAGTTTAGTGTGGTCGAAAGGGCTTCCAGGAGGTGGCAGGATACAAGGCCTCAAAGGATGATAACACATAACCTTGACTGCACGCTTTTCATGTGCCCAGCGCTACTGTAAAAATCTTTTCTGGGAATTCCCTGGCCGTCCAGCGGTTAAGACCGCGCTTCCACCACAGCGGGCACAAGTTCGATCCCTGGTCAGGGAACTAAGATCCCGCACGCCCTGCAGTGTGGCCACCCTGCCCCCACAAAAAAAAAAAAAAAAAAAAGTCTTTTCGGGTATAAGAGCACTTTGAACAGTGTCAGGCTCAGAGAAGCTGAGTTAACTTGTCCACGGTCACTGAGCCAGGATCCAAATTTAGGTAGTCTGGCTTCAGAGCCCACTGCCGCCTAGGATATCCTGGGCTGCTCATCACGATCACAGTCTACGGGGAACAGTCAGCCTGTGACATGAGGGAACGTCCTGGCCCCAAATCCTTAATACCCTAGTAACACAGTCTTTAATTTGCTTGGGGACTCACATACCCTCTAAGAAACACACGAAGGCTCCAACCTTCTCCTCAGGTCACCCACACCCCCGTCCCTCCCCTCCAGTAAGATAGAAACCAGAGGGCAGCCTGGGCAGTGGCCTTTGTCCGGCCAAAGTCCCTGCAGTTTGGTCTTTGGGTTTATCTACAACTGCAGACACAGGGCAGTACAGCAAGTGCCAACTGGCACAGCTCTGAGACGGCCCAGCAGGGCTCCAATCGAGAAATGCTATGGAGAGGAACTGAGAGGCAGAGGGCGCACATCAGGATCCTGGGGCTGCTGGCCTCCCCGAGGCTGCCAGCACCCGATGCCCACCCCAGCCTTCCCCTCCCTGGGCTCCACACGCTGAAGCTAAAGACGGAGTCACAGCTGACGGGGACAAAACCACCACAGATCTGACCGTGTCCCTCAGAACCCAGGAGGCAGCTGGAAGTTTCCACCTTGGTCAGGGTGGGGGAGAGCCAGCCTGTGAAATGAACAAACTAGTTCTACAGCAGGCAGCTGTCCCTGGCTCTAGGGAAGCGAAACTGCTCTTTCTCTCAGCAGCCATCATGAATCAACAAGGGCCACAGACAGAAACCCAGTGCTGTATTTCCTCACAATGCTTGCCCACGTTTCCAGCCCGACAGATTTCCAAGAAAGAAAGCTCTTCAAAGCCCACTTCCTCTGGTGCTGAGAGATGTGAGCGGTTCCCAAGCAGCCAGAGCTGGGGACCACTTCTAAGTGCCTGCAAGGGCCAGGGGAGAATTCTAAAATCATGGCCTCTGGGAACTCAGGAGGTGAACATTAGTTTCACTGTTACAAGTCAGTTAATAAGCTCCAGCAGGAAAAAATTCTTACCCACAAGCCATGCCAATGTCATAAGACCCATTTCTGATGCCACCTGCAACAAAAGCATTTCATAAACATCCTTCCCCAGAGTGTCCATCTGTCCTGGGAACAGGGGAGCCTCTTCCCCACCTGGTCTCTAAGTGGGACTCAGCCCCAGCCTCAGAGATAGAAGACCCAGGAGTGTCCAGAAAAGCCTGGGGGTGCAGTGAGGGGCTCTCCTCCAGGCTTTCTGTGGTTACGGTCCTGTCAGAAATCCTTACTGCTTGCCCAGCAGACAGTGACTCTGACGACCCAAAGCCGAGCAGCCAGGACCAAGGCCAGGCCGCGGCACTGGGTGCCCACCCAGTCAGAACTTACCAGCTATGCTGGCCACCGCCTGGAGCCCTGACGAACACTGTCTATTGACAGCTGACAAAGGCACGGTCTCTGGGATGTCACTGAAACAGAAAGTGAGAACAGAGTCAGCCCCCTCTCCCCTGCCAGGCTCTCAGGGAAAGCAGGCCTGTGCTCCTGGCCAACATGACTGCCCCTTCAGGGGACAGAAAGCCCAGGGGGACAAACCCAGCAGCCCTGCCCCTACTCCAGGCCTGACCTACACTGGGCAAACCCCATCTCTGCAGGTGCTTGCTCCCCAGTGCCCCACAATCACATGCCCTTCCACCCTGTGATTCTCCTCATCCAAGGCCAAGCACAGCCCAAACGCAAGAGAAGGCTGGTTGGGCCACAGGGGTCCTTCTTTCTCTTCCTTTGAAGATTCAACAATTAAAACTGTATATCCCTGTTTCCCATGAAGAATAGAGAAGAGGGCCTGTGGCCGAGACAGAGAACCAGTGCAAAATAAATGTCTGAAGTACGACAGATGGCCAACAGGCACGTGAAAAGATGTTCAATGTTGCTAATTCTTAGAGAAATGCAAGTCAAAACTACAATGAGGTATCGCCTCACACCAGTCAGAATGGCCATCATCAAAAAGTCTACAAATAATAAATGCTGGAGAGGGTGTGGAGAAAAGGGAACCTTCCTACACTGTTGGGGGAATGTAAATTGATACAGCCACTACGGAGAACCATATGCAGGTTCCTTAAAAAACTAAAAATAGTGTTGCCTTATGATCCAGCAGTCCCACTCCTGGGCATAAATCCAGAGAAAACCATAACCCCAACGATCGCTGCAGCACTATTTACAATAGCCAAGACATGGAAGCAACCTGAATGTCCATCAAAAGAGGAATGGATGAAGAAGATGTGGTGCATATATACAACGGAATATTACTCAGCCATAAAAAGAACGAAATAATGCCATTTGCAGAAACATGGATGGACTTACAGATTGTCATACTGAGCAAAGTAAGTCAGACAGGGAAACACAAATACCATATGATATCACTTATATGTGGAATCTAAAATATGACACACATGAACTTATCTACGAAACAGAAATGGACTCACAGACAGAGAATAGACTTGTTTTTGCCAAGGGGGTTGGGTAGGGGAGAGATGAAGTGGGAGTTTGGGATTAGAAGATGCAAACTATTATATATAGAATGGATAAACAACAAGGTCCTACTGTATAGCTCAGGGAACTAT